CAAGAAACGAGTTCCACAGTCCAGACTTAACTAACCCTTTTGAAATTTTGCCCTTGGTTGTTTTTTCCTTTTGACCAGCAAAACGGATCCAACTTCTCTAGGGTCGAAACGGATCCGGGTTCAGGTTTGATCAGGGTCCTGGTGGCTCGCTTTGGAAAGTTGCTCCGTGAGTTCCCTCTGAGTTCTGCACCTCTGCGCCATGGTCCGATTTCGCACTTTGGATGAAATTCGAATTGATCAACCTGTTGGACAATCGGGTTCCCCGATCCCCTCTAAAACGGGACTCCGTTTCCATGAATTCATCAATGGGGTTATTCACCCTGAGCGACGGCAATGGGTCATTTTGGCACGAGCAAATCTACAGACCAGGTCCAAGTATGTTTCTGGGTACCTTGATCCCTTTTGACCCTCCTCAAGGGGTACACGCAATCGCATGGCTTCCCGATTTGGTTGGTTCATGGCTTTGAGTTGTTTCTCTTTATTTGTTCCCATTTTGTAGTCGGCAACAACACTGTTCCATTTTTGTGGGACCCCGATGCTCCCTCCATGCTTCCAGCCTCTGGAACTGTACTAAACCCGGACCGCTGGTCAGATGGTCAGGATATCAACCAGGGTCTCATGGATCGCCAGCTTTCAGCCGGGTCACTGCGCTTTCAGCCGGACCGATTCTGAGATGGTCACATCCCGAGTTCGCGGGCCGTGTGCTTTTTTTTTTTTTATCATTGATTTCGAAACATTTGTTGTGGATATATTGTTTTTGTATTGTTTGATATGTCATGTTCATATGTGTCCACCTTTGTTTTGCTTGTTTGTTTGACACAACTGTATACGTTGCGTTTTTGTTCGTTGAAGCACACATATTGTGCTGTTCGTTGCCGATGCAACCAGGAAATGACCTTTTGTTCTTCACTTCTTCGGTTTTGTTCATGTGCAGCGGGGAGCTGCAAAGAAGACATGCCAACATGCCAGGGTTGTGGACCCCCCGAACAAATACCCAACCTTGTGAAGCTTGAACAGTCTAAATATGGCCTTAAGGCTGACCAAGGCCTTTCCGGGCAAAAGGCGATAGGTCAAAATTCAGAGCCAACCTGGGGGAGCCATGCAGCCAGTGAAACCTTGTCAGGTACCCTTTTGGTTGGTTTGAAAGGGAAGCCACGGTTTGAGGGGGTCCCCTAAGAAAAGATAAATCCACCTGAGTCACAATCAAAACCCGGGTAGATGAAGGTTAGTGAGGGGCAATCCCAACCATAAATAGGTGCGGCCGCCTTCTTCATCCTTTACATGGTTCTGGGTTCACCATTTTTGTACCAGGTTTTGATTGTGACTCACCTGGTGAGTGACGCAGCATCCGGGGCCAACATGCCTCGCCGCCTCGCCCTGGAGGCTTGGACCGAGCCAGAGGGCTGCCGCTTCGTGACCAGCGTCTCCGCCACCAGCTGTGTGGCCACAGGTGCCAACGAGTAGAGGTGCTGTGGATTGGCACAATCCATATGTTCAACCCCCATGACAAGAATGGTTGACCCAATTTGGATGATGACAATCCTTAGCCAAACAATGGTAGTTATATGAACCCTCATTGAGTTCATGGTGGTTTCAACCCCAGAGACAGGGGGGGTATATATCTTGTTTATTGGCTTACGGTTTAAACCAGGGGTGGTCCAGCCGTATCTTGTTTATTTTCAGGGCTTTTCAGGGAGGGGTAGTGGACCCCCACTGCCACCAGTGAAAGATTTGGTATACCCACGGTGTGATTAGAGGGGTGGGAATCTACCTATCGTACACTCTATTTCACCAAACGTGGTCCATGGACAATAAATGAAGGGTCTCTGTGAATAGTGGGTGTGTGTGTGTTTTGTGAGGCACCACTGTGGGGGTACCCGTATATTGCCCACCCAAAATTGAAGGACACCATGTTTAAACTATCTCGCGATGGTTCCAAAGGTCTGGCTGTTCAATGATGCCCTGTAGTCAGGCAACCCTCAGTTGGTTTGGATTGCTAGTTTGGAATTGGATGTGAAGCCCTGGTTCTTGTAAATGGGAAACCACACCTGCACCAAAAACCAATCCCACACCCTTGAATGGTTGGTTTCTGAAGCGAAGGACGGGTGAAGAGAACGGGGAATCAAACCTTGGTGGCTCCCAGCCATCCCCTTCGCTTTTTAGCATTTCGTGCGGTTTTCCATTTGGCCCCTTAACAGTGAAACTTTTAGCGGGGGATCTGAGGACAGCCCAGAAATCTTGGAACTCGGAAGCTGCATCTCTCTCTCCGGCGCAGGCCTTCAGTCCAACACGGCCTACGTGGCCCGAGCGTCGGTCATCTGCGACGAGTGCTCCAATACCCCGCCGGGGCAGCGCGTGCCCTGCGACAACGCGGAGCCTCGGACACCGAACGTTTCTTTTTTCTTTTTTTTCGTTGTTGTCGGAGGGTCTTAAGATGTTGTCGCGAAAAATGCGCGAAAAAGGTTGCTAAATATGTTGTTGTGTGTTTCCTTTTTTATTTTCTTTTTCGGGTGCGTAAATCCGTTGAGGGAGTCCCTTTAAAACAACCAACAGTTGGACGGTTCAAAGGGGTCATTCCATTTCCTAGGTCCCCCAGTAGTGCCCTTTTACTCTTTTTGGGGGAGGGTTCCCCTACTCAAATAGACTACAGAAAAAAGGGTACCCTTATTCTAACCTCTACTGGAGGACCTAGGTTTTCTTCGGGTGAGTAAATCCACGGGCGGTTCCATTCTTGTTTGCTCATATTTGAGGGGTAACCTGAACAAGTCTCGCCGTTTGGACATTTGTTTTACAGATAATTCTCCCTGGGAGTCAAGTGGAAGTGTATGGTCAACCGCGGATGAATCAACGGAGTAGGGCTTTGTTTCCGCTCTAAATGTGATTTGGATCCCTCCTTCGTGGGGCATGCCAGCGATTCGAATCCGCCAAGGAAAAGAACTGGGTTCCAGCGAACGGTTCCTTACCTAGGTTCAAGGGATTAGACATGAACTCCTTGAGAGGTGTGAAAAAATGTTTGGGATCATTTGGCCAAGCGTAACACACACCGCTCATGTTTGTGTTCTCAAATCAAAGACCCCAAATTGTCGAGCTTTCAGTCATGGTGCCGTTTTGTTTCCCAGTATCAAGGAAAACACATGAAAGGACGGCCCTTCTGCTTTCAGTGTTGAAAATTGATGTCCCTGGTTCCGTGTTGCTCTGCCAGTGCCATCGATTCGGTTTGAGCATGTCCGCGCATTTCAAGTCTTGGCAGGGTTTGAGCCATGTGTGGCTTGTTGCTTCAGGTTCTGGTTCCATTTCCTGAAGGCCAAAAGGTCTGCGGCTGGGCCGAGCGTCGCCTTGCCAACATGTCAGGCAAGCCTCGACTGGTTTGGATTGGAGCTTTCGGATTTGGATTGGAGGTTCTGGTTCTTGTAGAGATGGGACACCATCCTGAAATATCCTGAACCTCCAAAACGCCGGGCCAAACCACCAATTAGTTGGAAGCTCATCGTTTGACTTGCCACTTGCCGCAACCCAATCTACCCATGGAACTTGGTCGGGGTGCAGGAAGGCATCAAACCTTGCTTGTTTGGGTGACAGGAAGGAGTGATGCAGCCCCGGCAGGGTAAAGACCACCCCAATAATTTCGCTGTTTGTTGCTCACGTCTTCCCTTCTTGTACTATGTTGGCATTTGCCATAGGGCTCTGGGGAAAAATCGCTGACCTCGAAGCAATTGCTGAACTTCGTTGGCCTTTGGTTCGGCCGTTTACCCGATTTTGCGCATGATTTACGGCGGGATTCGCTGTTTTTGCTGGGATGCCAGGTGTTTGAGAAGCGAGGGAACGGCTCCCTGAAATCAAGCTAAAAACTGCTCCAGTCCTGCGTCGTTTCATCTTTTCGGAGGGGGTGTCCTTTGAACGTCGAGTACCAACTACATGGTTGTCGTTGGGAAACATTTTACATTTTTGCTTATTGTGGTTAGTGGGAAATCCCCACTTAACTGCTAAAAAATAAGTTTTTGCTCCCCTTCCAACGTCAAGCAAGCCTATGGGTGTTTTCCTCGTGTCCGCTGGAGGTCTGGGGATTTGAATGGCATAATGGATGCAACTCCCCAAACAGAAACCAACATGGCATGGATCATGTTGTTTTTGCCAGACCTATTGAGCACCCAGATTGCCTGGGTCCGCCCAGGACACTGCAGACAGCAGATGCGAAGTGCCCGAAGCAGGAGGACGATGGAAGAGCATGTTCCTCTAACAAGGACCCTCTTGTATATAAGGTTCCATGCTTGTATGCTTGGTGATTCCCAGCCATCCACTTAGTTTTTTTGTTGCTTGTAGTTGGCTTAGTGTTTGAATTTCCATTTAACTCACTAAAGGTTAAACATTTAGCAGGGGATCTAAGAACAGCCCAGTTTGGGAGAGTCACTTCGAACTTCAGCTGTAAGTTTTAGAAGTCCTCAACTTTGGAATCCATCGGGTTCCTTTTGTTGGACACCTGTTTTTTGGTGTTGACATAGAAATGTGTCTTTGAGGGTAGCTCATTGGGGTTGTTATCTAGCTTGTTGAAAACCTAATCCCAAATTGATTAGCGAATTGCGGATTGTGCAGTTTACTGATTGTTCGGTTCATGCTCCAGCATACGGTTTTGACTCACAATGTGGAGCCGCGCGGATTACGGATTGAGAAAATAGCCAGCCAGAACAAGGATTAAGCGCCCCACTGGGTTATATAAACAAACCAAAAAACCACCTCTTTGGGGGTCCCCTACCTTAAGAAACACCCAGCGAGCACTTTGCCTGTAGTGTATGTGAGTCACAATCAATACTTGAAGCTTAATAGGGGCCCGGTCGCAACCATAGCTAAGCGCGGCCGCCCTTATTTTTCACCGAAAGGTAGCCATAGCTAAAATGAGTTCTTTCTTGCTTTAGCAAGTGTAGGGGCAGCAACTTCCCGACCGCTGTCATAAATCAATTGGTTGGGAAACGGAACCGCCCCCCCCCAAAAAAATAGTATAAAGGGGGCTCCTGGGGTAGGGGATTTGCAGGTTGGGTTTTCAGAGTTCAAGGTTCATTTTCAGCAAGCCAACGATTTTGTTCATTTTACCGAGGGGGTTTCTGGCGGATTTTCTGGGGGAAAACAGTTCAGTTTTCAACAGTGTTTTTCAATCGAAAGGGGTTAACACATATTGTTCAGAATTTCTTGGTAATTCATTGGTGGAACATGTTTGGTGTTGGGGTTGGGGTATGCGTTGGGATTTTCCCACCGGCCCCTGTCGTGCCACGACATCTTCGCCATCATCCCTGTTTGCGTCGGGGCTCTCAGTTTGCTGGCGTCAGAATCTGGGCATCTTGTTCAGTTTCTAGAAGGGATTTTTGAGCGGTTGACGTTGCCCCTGCTACCCTGTTCATTGCTCCATTCAGCCACGGAGAAGAGCTTAGCGTTCGATTTGCATCCACAGGATTGAAGGCAGCCGGGTTGCTGATAGGTGGCATGACCATCACCAGGAGATGGGAAAGCGAAAGAGGTGCAACGAGGAACTCGAAATCAGGCTGGAGAAAATGGGTGCTAGCTTGCGAGTACTCGGATTGCCGGAAGACATCGAGAAGGGCCTTTGCGAGGATGACCCAGCCGTCGCACTAGACTGGGACACGGCCCATTTGCAGGCGATGGTTGATGCCATCAATGCAGCTGCCGCAGTGCCTCCACCGTGGGTTGCTGGGGCTTATCCCATTACCCCCACACAGCTCCAGCAGGCCATCCTCGCCCGTGTTCAAGCATTGGCGGGTGGCGGAGGCGTTGTGGGGCGGTTTGTTCTGGCGCCCCACACAACGCAGCAGTATGGGAACAAAGTGCAGCTGGGTTTTCTCGGCTTGGACCCACTCTTTACTGCCCAGCGTGCGTACCAATCGCGCGAGCCCATGTGCTTGCAGACAGGAGGAACGCCACGACAGCTGTGGCGGACCCGATCCCAGCCCCACCAGCCCCAGGAGCGGCGCTGAGCCACAGTAGCTTTGGCAAATCGGCTTTTGAGCCACAGCAGGCGGAGATGGAGACTGTTCATCGAATCCTCTTGATCATGGGATCATTTCCCGCAATACTAGTCACCGCTGATTCACAAAGAGTGTGAGAAGAACTCCATGAAATACAAAGGCCGCAAAGACTTCACCGGTGGATTGCCAGGAAAAAGCAGCGTGCTGAAGCTGAAGCCATCCTGAGTTCCTGAAGCTCAAATCATCCCAAGGCGTGTTTGTCTTTGTTGTCCCCTCTTGTCTGCTTATGAGCTTCTGCAACCCCATGCCGACCCATCGTGCGCCCAAGGGCTACTTGAAGCACAAGGACAGTGTCAAGAATCGACAGTCCGACCAAATGGTTGGTGGGCATCAGTCCCGGCCAAACTTTCATACCCACAAAAACGGAGTCTTCGACTCTTTCGAGGAGGAACCACCTGCTTCAAGAAGTTGGCGGCATTCAGGCGGGAAACCCGGGGAGCAATTCGTTGGTGTTGGGAACAAGCTGCTCGCCTAGACTTGTTCAAGGCCAGCCAAAAGGGAGGCTCGGCGCAGGGCTCCCCACTCTTTTTCCCAGTTGTGTGTTGCTTTTTGCGCAGTTGTTCATGGCTTTGACGGTGGTTTTTGGATGGCTTTGGGATGGTGGGGGGATCGCTTTTGCGCTGGGCATTGACAAGCGACTGTTCGCTCTTGCGGACCGGACACCCGTCCCAGGCGAGCCACAATCAACATCCGGGTAGATGAAGGTCAGTATAAGGGGCAATCCCAACCATAAATAGTTGCGGCCGCCTTCTTAATCCTTTACATAATTCTGGGTAGATCATTGTAATACCGGGTTTTGATTATGACTCGCTTTTCTGGAAACTTGTGATTCGAAGCACAGCCTCCCTCCCCCCCCAAAGCTCCGAACCCACGGCCATGGGGAATTGGGTCTCAGCGGGATCCGTTGAGATCTTAATGGAGTGAGGGAGGCTCTCCCCGGTTCGGGAAACTCAACAAAGCCAACAACTTTCGAGCCTGGTTTTGACAAGACTCCAGAAACTCACAACCCGTGGCCTCAGCTGCAACCGAAACATCCTGAAGGCTCTTTAGAGTCCTCCATGCTCCATACCCGAAATGGTCGTGGGTCAAAAATAGGTACCCAAAATGGAACCCTGGTAAATGGCGGTACATGGAAGCAAGGACTAACACCTGCGGTCCCCTGGTGGTTTTATTTTGACCCATACCCACCAAATGAACCGACTCCGGAAATTGTGACCGAGCCTCACATTTCACCAGCCGGCCATTTGAAAAGCAGCGCAGAGGAGGCAATGCATCGCCCCAAACGGAAACAGGTAGGCAAATTGACCAACATCGACTCATGGACGCAGCAAGAGCCGGGTGCTGCAAACCCGTCTCATCTATGTCTTTTTATTTGAACATGAGGGTGTCAAATGGCAGCCCTCATAGTGAGGCTAAGGGTCGTATGTTTTTTTCCTTTTTGGGGCAAAACAACGAGAAACAACAGAAAAAGAACGGCATTTTGCTCTTCTATGGCACGCATTTTTTGACCACCCGTTGATCCCCGCCAGGTCCGGCAGCGCTCTGAGCTCTCCTGACACGACCTCGGGGTCGGGCTCCGAGTCTGGCGCGGAGCCCTTCACCACGGCGCCGAGGCGAGTTGTGTGGCAAGGGAAGAGTCAACAGTCACTTTGGCATAGAATGAGATACAGTACAGCTTTATTGGAGATGGCTCCCAACTTACATGGTCAACAAGTACTGCCCATTTTCGCGAAAGGGAAATTGCTTCTTAACATGCTCAAGCTGTTGAGCTCCATGCACACCTGAATGGTATTCGATGCAAGCCCCTTCCTTTACGGTATCCTACCTTTCGTGTCACAATGTGATTTTATCACATCTTATTACCGGCTGATAAGATCCCCTTGAGAAGCAAGCGCTTTTTCTCTCTCTTTTTTTCTTTGCGGGGGTACCCTGTTAAGCTTGGTTTGCACCGGCTGACAGATATCTGTCAGTGTGCCTTCCGGTTGGATGATAGGAATCTAGGACCATCCCGAACTGGTGGTGTGGATTGGCGTGGTTTTGGGTTGGAACCGAGCCCCTGGCTATTGTAGAGGGTAACTGGACATCTCCCCTTCACCACACCAAACAGGCAAGAGGATTGACGGCCGACCGAAATCACGGCAAAAAACAACGCAGGGAGACATGGTTCCAGCGAATCTTCCTGGATTGTGGATTCGGATTGGCCAGCCCTCCATTTCGAACAGCAATATATGCATATCTGCATAATGCTTACATCATGGCTTTGTCCAAAGCAAACACTGATTGTTTTTCTGTTTGACTGCCCATTCTCGAAATGATTCCAAAGCATGAACATTCAATTTAGGTCATTGGGTTGCAAGTGAGCTTATGTGCAGGTTTTGCGTGACTCAGCAAAGGATCTCAGCTAATCATTTTCAGGTGTCTGCAAATGCTGGGCGTGTTGACCCTCAACTGCACTGGCGGTATCTCGCAGTTCCTGTTTCGTAGGAAGCTAGTGTAAACGGCTAAGTATTTAGGACAGGGTTGTCGGGCACTGTAAAACCACATAAGAGAATGAGTTGTAAAATTATTTGGGTCCTCGTTGAAACTATCACATGTAAGGCAATTCCTATGTGGTGAAACCGATTTTTGGTTTTAAAGTACCCCAGGGTCACATGATAATCTAGCCCCTCATATTGCCTCCAGGCGAGAAGCAGTGCCTAGCAGCACCGCGGCGCCTTGGACGGGGCTTTGGCTTGATCTCGGCTTCCCTTTGGTTCACTGGGCTTGATCTGCTGAACCGCTTTGTCATTCCACCAGAAAGGTTCGATGCTTCGATCCGAACCGGCCGATCAGAACGTTCCTTTCCAAGCTCGCCAGTTCCTTTCCTCGAATGGACATGGGTTCATAATGGTTCAGATGATGGGTGCTCCTATAGTTTTGATATCCCAAAACATACAAAGAGCCCCAGGCCTCGCATCCTCCAATTCGAACCCAGCAAGGATCAGAGGGAGCCTTTGGCTTCAAATGCCTTGGACCCGTTTTGGTTTTCGACGTTCAACATTGGGTCTGTCTGAAACTTCGGGGGATGGTCGGCTTCCCCTTTGGTTTCCCAGAAAAGGTACCTTCATTTTGAGGAACGCCATGGCCAAGTTGATGGGGGTCAGTAATATGAGGAACCCAGGCCTCGGAACTTGGGACTGCCGGCTATAGGTGGTCCTGTGGCCTTCACTCCTGGGCTGAGTTGTCGATGTTTTTCCCATGAGACCTACCTGTTGCTCGGAAGAGCAATAACTGGATTTTGTCCAGGCAATGGCATCCCTCGCCCTCGGCAGTGGCTTTCAACCCCAGGTTGCAGTGCCCACGACCTCGGGCATGCGGGCAACCTTCTCCTGGACCCCAGGTGGGAGTCGGCCGATTCGGGGGGAAAAAGGAGCGACTTCCACCCCAGTGAGTCATGGAGGTTCTTCACTTCGCTTGGGGAAAAGTTGGATTTGTTTTGTAACAAATGTAGATGGAGTGGAACGAGAGAGCAGAAACTCATTGGAAAACCATGGATTTCAGCCAGGGCTTGGTATAATCACCCTTGCCGAACAACAAAAGCATCCTTTCCACAAGTTTCTGGACGTACTTGTCACATTGCTGCGAACCTTCAATGATCAAACCAAGGTAGAACATTGGCAGAAGGGAAACCTTTGTTTCCCTTTACCAGCATGATACACTCAACTCATCCCCTGATCGGTGGGATGCCAGCCATGCGATGGGATGGTCCAGCTATGTGATTTTCTGGCCGTTTGAGAACTGGAGGACAGATGCCCCACTCGGCCGCTTCAGTTTTTTTCTTCTAGGTTTCCGGTGCTGGGTATGTCTGAAAGGGGACCACACAAGATGCTTATCCGTTTCATCTCGCTTTAAAGCAGCCTTTAAAGGGCACCCTGCACACTCGAAACGAAACACACACACACAGGCTGTTGGCTTCCAAGGGGAGCTGAAAGAAATTGGATGGTCCGCCTTCGGAGACCAAAGAGGAGGTGGTTGAGCTAAGCCACTTTTGTGGGTGGCACCGCGGCACCCCACTTTTGACTCCCCCAACTCTGGCCGTGCCAGGGGTGGGCTCTGCAACCAACGCTGACGTGGGCTCGGACTGCGTGTTCCAGTCCTACCAGATGCAGATCAAGAAGAGCGATGGCAATGCCAGGGCCCAAAAATTGCTTCAAGACACGGAACCTATATGACTATGAGGCTATGAGTTTTAATGGGGACCCCCCTTGAAAAATGGTTAGTGGACATAAATCCCCAAAATTCAGGCCCATATTTGGGAGGCTGGAAATCTCAGCCAACCTCTTTTCTCTTTGTTCCACCTACTTGGGTTCATCACCCCATGAGGAAAAGGGAGCCACAGCATGCGTCCTCCCCTGGTTTATGTCTCGCAACCAAGGTCTTTCTGGGCCAAAGCCAAGGGGTAAATCGGGTGTCAAGAAGCAGCCACTTATCCCCTCCCCTTATTAAAGATGGTTCTTCAACCTTGCAGAAACCACCTCAAACGTAGCACCCCTGAAGGCCCACCGATTATCAATCCATATACTCTTGTAGCTTAACTTATTGTGTTGCCTTTCTGAAAGGACGCCTTGCTTTAGCAAAACCTGTTGGGCCCCTTCAAATGAATGGTTTTATATATTTGGCTTCAGTGGCCTTGTTCACGTAAGTTCCATTCAATCCGTCTAGATGTCGGGGATGGTCCCCACCCAAGCCTTATACGGTTGGCCTTTCAGCTTGGCATCTGACATCTTGGTTGGTTACACAGTCGACCCGGTGCAAGCAGTCATGCACCCGTTGCTAGGTAGTCTCGAATTCATGTTCCGCAACATCGAAGGCTTGACTGCCTGAAATTTAGATCACTAACCAAGGCAAATGAGCCAGTTTGCGAGGTGTCCAAGCATTGCTGAGCTTTTGAAGTTTCTTGCTGCGACGTGTGGTCCGAACATTGGGGCTGTGTTTGAATTGCCAAGCCTCAGCCAGCCAATGGTTGCAACAAAGTTGGTGCACAAGGACAACCCCAAGTTTGAGAAGCGCTTCCCCTTGCAATGCGAAGGGTACCAGTACCCTTTCTGGGGTGGTTTTAATCGAAGACAATTGGCAGGACCTTTCGCCCAGCCAAGGAGTGGGAGTAGGCCTGCCACCTGTTGGCAACCTTTGGCTTCAAAGCGGAGCCAAAGGCAGCCAGAAACATTCGGCTTTGCCTTCGGCTTCGCTTGCACCCCAAGTAACCTCACAGACCCCAAAAAAGATCGGTACCATCACAATGAGCCCCAGTCCAAGCTCGGTGGGTATGGGTCAAAAACTACACCTGGATATGGACCGCAGATTTCAGTCCATGTGTCCACTTACCAGGGTTCCATGTTGGGAACATATTACTGTGGCTCAAAAAAGTGGTACCAAAATGGCACCCTGGTAAATGGAACCAAAGACTAAAACCCACGTAACCCCAGCTCTTTAATTTTTGAGCCATACCCATATTATTGACCCACAGCCAGGTCTTCTCGTTTGGGCCCTTCGCTTTTGGGTTGCCAAGTCGTTGCCCAGGACTGGGGAGCGCCGGAAGGCTGCCTCTCCTTGACGGATCCCAACGCCGCCTCTTGCACCGCAGCCCGGCAGAGCTGAGCCGGGGAAAAGGCTGGCACTTGGGCTCACTCGCCCCAGAAAATAACAATTGGCATATGTCATTATCTTTTGATATAACGGCTGTGTGGGTTTATGGGTCTTTGTGTCAAATGATAAAATGGAATTGGGGGGCACTTCAAAAAAATGGAGTTCCTGTCGGTGTCCCTTTCGGCCACCCAAACGAGGCGTGATTTCCTTTGGTATTCTTTTAGTGGCCTACTTGTGTGACCTACTTTTACAAGTATCAACACTTCACAACTCCAAACAACCCACCCAAAAAACCACACACAAAAAAACATGGTGTATGTTCGTCTTTGAGGTATTTGTTTGACAAAGTGACACCGTGGTCCCACAAGGGGTGGCATTTGGACATACCAGGAACATCCTACGTACAGCTTCTTAGCCGATCATGTCAAACTGGTGTTCCCTGACAAAACTCCCCAAAAGAGTAGCAACTCCCAAAAGGAGCCACTCCCATCAACGGTAAAACGAGTTTGCCCATGAAGATCGCCTTGTCAGCATGGCCCGCGAATGAGTGGCAAATGCAGCTCTCTTTTTTTTGACTACCCGAAGATCGACTTCAAAACCGGGGTTGCCCTTTTGAGTCAACCCCTGGGTTTAAGTCTTTAGGGTCCAAAAATGGAACCAGCAAAAGAGCGCTTGAGCTCGGTGTCTTGGTGGTTCAACCTCGAACCTTTACTGTTTCCCACGAGCGGCAAAGAGTGGAGGAGTTTGTCTTTGAGCGACCAACCAGAGCGAACAAGAGCAGCTTTACATACCAGCCTGCACATTGACATGCAGAAAAGGGTTACCAGGTCGGGCGGTGAAAGGCTGGTTCGACAAAGATCAACTTGAGGTCCTTGTTGGCAGTTCCGGACCTCCAGTGCCAACTTGTGGTTCGTTCCGTTGGCCACTTCAAAATCAACCAAAGGATGTCCTCCGTGTCCTGAAAGTCTACGGGAGGTCTGGGGCAGTATCACCCGAGTCCTTTGTCGCCCGAACCGAGGCCACGAATCTGCAGTGCGACACCAGCTATGATGCCAGGCTGCGCACCTCCTGCCTGCCGGCATCCGCCAGCAGCGACTCTTGGTTTTTCTATCAGGGCCTGCAACAAATAAATGGGTACCTGCATCTCTTGAAAGTTAATAATTCCCACTCCAAAAAAAAAAAAGTACTTTCTTTTATGCTGGAGTGATAATTTTCACTCCGTGTTAAAATGCCCGTTCGGGTAGTTCCGACTGCTCAGGCATCCGTTCGGACCCGTTCGGAACCCGTTCGAAACCCGTTCGAAACCCGTTCGAACCCGTTCGAACCCGTTCGTACCCGTTCGGACCCGTTCGGACCCGTTCGGAGGTACGTAAAAAATACGCCAACATTACGCAATAAGCCTTTGATAATTTATGTGCAGTGCTGATTTATGAACACTTCAATGGTAGTGAAAATGTCCGTTCAAGAGTAGAAATACCCGTTCGAAAGTGGAAATACCCGTGTCCTCAGGCCGAAAAGTACTTTTTCAATTTTGGAGTAGGAATTCTTAACTTCCAGGAGATCCAGGTATGGAAGCCAGCAGCGGACCGCGGGTTTGAGTCCGGCAGCAGACCGTGGGTTTGAGTCCAGCAGCGGACCGCGGGTTTGAGTCCGGCAGCAGACCGTGGGTTTGAGTCCATTTTTCCTTTTAACAGGGTTCCATTTTGGACCCACGCCCAAATGTGTTTCTTCGAGGGTACCCATTTCAGGTCGAGACGGGAAACCAAAAGGCTAGCCACCATTTTGGGCTCCAAATCCCCAGTTCACAGCCGAGTCGAAAATAAGAAGGTTTTGTCGGCTTTCCCTGCTTTTCGTTAAAGGCTCAGTTGCCCAGCGGTGCCCAGTTTTCCCAGTTTGTTTGGGGAAGGGTCCCCGGTTTAGTGGTTCCACCAACCCCAAAAACCATGGGGATGCGGATCCTTTCTTGCCGGTTAGGCATCTCGGCCATGGGGCTCACATGGCCACGGGTCAAGAGCCAAATCGTACCCCCAGTGAACATCCCAATACAACCACTAAAATAGGTTCTAAAATGGGTGGTGAAATCATCTACCAACCAACATGGGCTCCCAAAACGGTTTTGACAACAGCCACATCCTCGCTGGTTTTGGGGTTTTCCGAATCGGAGAAACCGGAGTCCCTTCCAAGGACTGGGCGGCTTTCCCGAGCTTCCGCACAACAGCTGCAGGTGCGGGGGGAGCGGAGAACGGGACCCGGGAAAAGGGGGCGGGGGGGGTTCTGAAAACGGCAGGTTTGGACCCAAACGAGTTGCCCGAAAAAAATATTCCATTTGCTGAAAGGAACATGTTTTTTTAGCTTCCCTTCTGGGTTTTGAAGGGAAACTGCCACTACTGGAAATATCTACAAAATCTGTTTTTGGGAAGGTGAAAAAGCAAATGGAAGAAAGGGGAGTTGGTTCTTCCGAAATTCTGGAGGACATTGTTAGATTTGGGTGGTTACAGTTACGCCCTTGTTAGAGGCCCCAAAAGCTGATCACCTGAAGGATGTTCAGATCCTTCAGACGTGATCAATTGACCAACTTGGTGTGGAAAATGAACCAAAGGTCTGGAAAGATCGTTGTTGCAGCTACTATCCATGTTATTGTTTGCTTTTTTGCATTGGAATTGGAATAGATATCATTGATGAACATAGATGGCTGGTACATCGTTTGGCGTTATCATAAGGATGATAGGGGGGTTTCAGCCCTTTCCTTTGGTGGGCCAGAGATCCCAACACGATCGGGTCGAATGGCGAGACGGTCGCCGACGTTTTCTGGCGAGATTCAGCTGGGGCATTTAGGTGCGAGCGAAGGTCCTTTGCTTGGGTACGCAGTGGATCTCAGTTACCCACGTGGATCCTATATTATCGTAGGCAACCAATTATTTTCTTTTTGGTGTTTAAAGGGTGGTTCCCTTGCTTACCTAGAGTACATTGAAATGGATCCGCTGATTTAGGTGTTGGAATCATTTTGGGATTTGCGCTTTGGTGGGCTCCGCAATTTCAAGAAGCACCCATGTCTCCGCCTTCCAAAAGCGACGCGACTTTTCCTCACGTAGCTGACGTAGATGTGTTGTTTATCCAAATGAGCAGCATTCGAACTGCAAGTGAATGAAAGTGTCTTTGGCCCCGCATAATGGTTTAGAACACCGCTCAAATGAGCAGAGCGTTTTTTGATTTGCATAAGGGTTTTTGTAGGTTGGGAACTTCCGCATGTTTGCGAAGCCTCTTCGCGAAGGCAACCCTTCCGCAAAGTCCGGCCCCGCGAAATCAGCGTAGGCTCGCTCCCCAGCAGTGTAGAAGCCGCGACCCACAAACAAAAGGCACTTTTTGCTGAAATGACTCATTCCCCTAGCAAACTCCTTGGTGCAAGAGCATCCAAGCAGCATGCTTGTCTTTCCGCTCATCGGAGTTGTTGACTTTTTGGTTGGGGTCGGTTTAAGGGGAAGTTGCGCTGAGAGGAGAATAATTCCAGCCGCTGCAGAAGGACCTAGGCCCTGCACCCAAAACCCTCTGGTTGTTAGGGTATGATTCTTTTGCCAACCCCAGACTGCAAACAACGATGGCATTTGTCATGGAAAAGCCTTGTTTGTTTCTTTGGTTTGTTTGTTTGCTTGCTTTACAAACAATCACACATATCCCGAATGCTGGGTACGTACCATGCAAGACATAGCTTCCCACTGGCGGGTACCTCTCCAGGCGCGTGCGCCCAGCCGGCCTCGGCGCCCACGCTCTTCCGGTCCAACGGCCGCACGCCGCAGAGCCTGGACATCGCCTTCACCGCCGGGCGCGGAACACACGGGGCACGCGGGACGCGGGGTGAAACCGGGGGAGGCGGCGACCCGGGGACTTCCATTTGCTGAGATTAATATTCGGTGATTGTCCCTTGTTGGGTTTACAGGGATTTGTTTGTTGATCTTCCCTTGGTGGTTAAAGGGATTTGTTTAAGTAGATGTTCCCTTCTTGGTTTTAAAGGGAATGTATCACTATTGGACATGTGTTGTTGTTTTCCAGAGGGCTAGAAGCAAATGGAGGGTGAAAATTGGTCATTGGTTTCCTTAGCTTTCAAGAGGTGTTTAGCTGGGTTGGTTTTGGAATTTAACCCACTACAGCGCCACTACAAGTTAAGCTTTCAGCAGTGGATCTGAGGACAGCCAGGAAATTTGGTTGACACCCTTTGCCCGGAGAAAACAAGGGGAAAGCCAGGAGCCATCATGAAAGGGGCAACCCATGTTTGTTTATTTATTTATTTATTTATTTGGGGGGGTTGAGGGTCCAGGTGGATTGTTAGACTTTAGCTCTTCGGGGAATTGGTGAGCTTTTCCGAAAGTTGTAAGAAGCAGGCAAAAGCTGGGCTGAGTTACCAGGATCAAACATGAGCAATACGCAGTCGACGCTTTTTTTTGTTGCACGGGATTGACCCCCTCGTTCAGCTTGCCACGCTTTGCTGCGTTGCAAGTTTCAGCAATTTTGTAAAGAGGGAACGATGTTCCCACTCAAGACAAAATGTATGTTAGTTAGACATTGTAAAGAAGAGACAAAGGTGATGTTGTGTGTGATCCTGAAAGACATATCCCCAGCCAGAAGCTATCGTCCCTTGTTGGAGAAGCACTCTAGAAGTGGGTTGTCCAGCACGGACTGCAGAAGGCAGGGATGAGGCAAGAGTCGGGGAGTGACCGGGTTGCTTGGGATGACTTACCAGCCATAACGTCAATGTTCCCCCCATCCTGGTCTTCACCAGTCCCCACTCCAGGTGTGCTCAAGCATGCAGTGGTCTATGGTCTGTTGGGAAAGATATGGCTGTGGGTCAAAAATATGTACCCAACATGGAATCCTGGTAAATGAAAACATAGACCAAAACCTGCGGTTTTGTGGTGGTTTAATTTTGACCCATACCCATATGGGCGCTCTCTAATGTTCCCCACGTCTAAGGCCACTGCAAGTTTTGGCTGTTCCTCACTTCCTTGCCCAACATCCAATGCCCAAGGGCCGAGATCGTTTGCACAGCACCCTGAGCACTGGGATCTGGGTGGGTGGGGTTTTTTGACCCTCTTTCCCTTGATTCGCCTCTAGTTTCCCTTTAGTTTCCTTTCGCCCTTTGTGCCTTCGTTTTCCCGAACACAGAATCCCCAAACATGTCCGATGTCTCTGGGTTTCTTTCCCCTTAGGTTCCGCTTCAGGCCCTATAAATGTCCCTTCGCTTTCCGCCGGTGTGAGGCGCAGAGATGGGGGTGGAGTTGGCCAACCCTGAATTGCTGGACTGCGTACTTCTTGTTGCTTGTTGATCAGCAGCCAGGCAGATCATTTCAGCAAACGACCAGTCCAGACTGTGGGTCATCCACTCATGAGTTAAAGGCCCATTGCTCTGACAAGCTTCTTTTGGTTTCTCTTAAAAGCTGGCCAGGGCCTGGTTGTTTAAACAACTTGCCCGATCCTGCGATCCTGCAAACAGCTGGACGGTCGGAGGGTGAAGGGACTGCTGAGGAAGTGGGGCCTTACAACGAGCTTGTCTGGAGGGGTAGATTGAGGTAGATTAAGTTGTCCAGCATTTAGAAATATGTTTTGAACAAATACCATTTTCCAGTTGTTTCCGTAGTTGGGGGGGAAACAGGGGAGGGCTACTGCAAAGTTTAGGGTAGGCTGTGATAGGTTGGTATGAGCACACTATGGGTGTGTCTGTTTATTGGGGGCGGGGGTGGCCCATTTTGCTTTGCTCAGCAGAAGCCTAATTGACGGAACTCCATTTTAGTTGCCCTAAGCAAATTGGCCTTAGAACCAATTGGTTGCCCAATTGTTTGTTCATTGTTGGGGATCACCCTGGATTTCCAGGTGACGCATATGAATGAAAATATATGAATTCACTGAATTCAGTTCCTGGCTGAGTGTCAACAGCATCCCTTTATCCCTTGGGTTTCCCCAAAACACAAATTCTTCCCCCCCCCCTAAATGTCCCTTCTGCTTTCTGCCGGTCCGACTCGCGAGTCGCGACGTGCACCAGAAGCAGCGGGGACTGCGAGTTCAGCCGCTTCGAGCTGCAGATGCAGGTTCAGGGCACCACCTCCTGGGAAGCGCCGCCAGGGGCCCAGGAGAGCTGAGTTCGGGGGGAACCCGAGGCCCGGTAGAGCTACACCTGGAGCTATCCAGTGGCCACTTTTTTTTTCTCCAAGCAACTGGGTAAAGTGTTTGGAAGAAAACAACAGCAACTTGGCGTTTCCGGACACTGGCTGTATTCGTCCCATGCTTTTGCCCTGGGTGATGAAAATAGTACTTTTTTTGGTTTTCAGGGGTTGTGGTTGTTTCCTGAAGTTGGCCGCCTGCGCAAGGTCCTGGGTGGTTAACACGAGTGCCTTTTTAATTCCCCAACAGCTTGGGGTCTCAGCCCAGATAGGCTCCGGGGTCCGGGGCGGCCCTGAGGTAAGGTTTGGGAAGGGGCAAACCCCAGGGTTCCACGGGGGTTCCACGAGGTTCGGCGAGGGCTGCGGGGTGCGAGCACTACAAAGAGCACCGCATGCTGTATGGATATCACCTGAGCCTATTTCGAGGAGGTCCTTCACTTGAGGGGATAGCCTGTCAACCGACCCAGCCTTCGTGCTTTCGCCTATGGCAACCGTGGCAACCATGTTTTGGCTTTTGCCCTTTCAGGTGATCACTTTTGACTTCCAGGTCCTGAAGGGGTTTGTGAGTTATATACTTTCGGTGGTACAGCCCGGCGGCTCAGGGTGCCCAAACAGAGGGGGAGCCATTTGCACACAGGTTTAGTTGGACCCCGGCAACTCTCCTTCCCAACTCCACGCAATGACCTGCCGACGCGCCCAGAGGCCAGGAACCTCCTCCCCATGAATCCACCCGTTTTGGGAAGGGAGGGGGGGGTGGGGGGAAGCCAAACTGAAGCCAGCCATTTTGTATGTCCCCTAAAAAAGCGCACATCTCAAACACCAAGTTTTAGACATTGTTTTGACACAACGATTTGTGCCTGGGATTTCCCCGAGATCCGAGGGTTTCCATGTGCCTGAGGTCGGGCTGCTCCCTGTTGGTGCGCTCAGGGCCGAGCTGTCAAGTTCAAAACCTAGTGGAGGAGCATTCGCTGCGCGCGAATCTTGTCCCGGGACGTGGTTCCCAGCCATTCGTTCCAATGGGTTTTTGCCTTAGGGATTTTAGACGACAACTTAGGTACCTAAGTTTTTGGCTTAGAGTTTAACGCTTAGTTTGTTCCCTTGCTAAATCACAAGTTAGACACTTTGAGCAGGGGATTTGAGGAGAGCCCAGTGGAAACCGAGGCCCGCCTGGGTTTTGTTCATTAAGTTAACCTCTCTTGAAATGACCTTAGATCTTTTTGCAGCTGCTATGCCGGACCATCCATGTAAGTAGTATACACCACCGTTTGACCCATTGAGGGTAATGTCGGCATATGTTACCAACATGGATTGGGTATGGACAAGAATCAAAGCTGTTGTCCGGTTCTCACTTCCCCAGGCACCTTTTGGAAAAAGGCGACATGTTCACTAGCCCATCCTCTTAGGAGCCCTGCGAAAGGATGCAGGGCTGTCCGAAACCTGGGAAATTTCCAAACAACCATCCAAGTTGGCTTCCATTGGGAGAGTTAACACATGGAGGTGTCTCAAGGACCCCCCTTTTTGACCACAGAATAGGTTGGGTGTGCCACCACACAACCTCCATCTTTGTGAAGAAAAAAAGCTCTTATGGAAAAGCGGCACCTAGGTCAATCGGATCGGCGTCATAAAGCTCAATGACTGGGCTTCTGTGGTTTTGTGGTTGCCTGAAACCGGGCCAAGCAGCTGGAGCTCTTCAACCAACTCCCGGCTTTGACCCATTAAACACCCTGGAGGTGTTTGGGGGCTCAAAACCCGGCTGTTTGAGGGCCCTAAATGAATCGGGAGCCTCTACCTACGAAAAGACAAAGATACCAAGACGCTTTAGGGACTGATTTTCTCTTACGGCGCCTAGCTTCCTTTTCAAACCGTATCCTCTTGTTCCGCACTCGCTGCTCATTTGCATCGGATGGCATCGGGCGTTGGTTTTCTGCGTTCCAATGAAAGTAGTCTCCCTTTGGTTTCTCGCTCTTGTCGACCCCAGGCAAATAGGCCATGCGGAAAAATGTCGGAGGTTCCCCCCTCCCCCCAAAGTGAAGGTTTCCCTACAATCGGCTATTGATTGTTTTTGTGTTTTTTTTTTCCAAACCAATGGGTTTATATTTGTGAGGGTATCCCGGTATCCCTTTTTTGTGCTGGGTTGTAAGGGAAGACCAAAAGAACAACCACACCAAATGGTGGGGCCCTAAAGAACAGACTCACCCGTATCGAAAGAAGGTTCTTGAGTGTCCCATGATCCGCTCTTCCTTCCATTTGCTGAACACGATATGTTTGAATTTTCCATTGTTGGTGTTTTAGTTGGCAATCTATCACTGGACATCATATGTTCCTGGGGTTCAAACCACCAATAAACAAATGAGGGAGGGTGCATATAACCACCATTGTGTACCGATTTAGGATTGTCCATCATCTAAATTGGGTCCTTGCCATTTTCAATGGGGGCAAGGAATCCTGTGTTCTCATTCTTTCCAGTGGGCTGAAACGCAAATGGAATCAAGCCAATTAATGGAAGCACGTTGCACTGGACAGATCGAATCTCCTTTCTTCCAGTGCGTAGAAAGCCAAATGGAGGCTTCTTGCCAGGACACCGCCTACCACTTCCGGGCCCGGGAGTTGTGCGGCAACGGGGCGCCCTTGGCCTCGCCCTGGGCCAGCACCGAGGACGTGCAGTGGGGGCGAGTCGCCCGTGGGGCGGCGTGTCAGACCACGGCTGCTGCCTGTTGGCTGTGTCTTGTTTTGAGTTATATCCTTATTTTTGTTTTGTTTTGTGTCGGGGACCGAAAGGAAACCGATGTTTGTTCTTTTTTTACGCGTTTTCTTTTCGGGGGGGCTGCTTTGACGGAAACTCTGTTGGATTCCCGTCGTCACGAGAAATATTTGTTTGCCCTCATCGTCCAATTGGAGGGCTACGAAACCCCAGGATCCTTACGTTACAGTGAAGGCACCAAGGTCGCCCAAGCGGGCTATGACCAAGGGTCTAACTTCACCTGCTTTGCTTGGGACAAGGACCCAACATGGTCCCGTTAGGATGTTGCTTTTCTCCACTGTTTGGGTGGCAAACGATGTCCCCGTCTGTGACGAAGTCCCAATCTGCCTGGTGGGAGAAGAATGAATCCCTTTAAATGACTGAATGCCCGACTATGATTAGCATGATCCTCTGGATTTGATCGAAGCTGATAGTTGATGCCAAAAGGGATAGATTCTCTGGGGTAGACTGAGACAATCCCCGCGAGGAAAGCAATGCGGCCAGCTCGGCGCAATCGCTCGTGGGTATTTCAGCAGCCCCCTTGGTCCGGTGATGACCACCTACTTGGCAATGATTTACATACAGGCATTGATCAAAAGGTCAGCTCTGCGGGCATTTGTGCCCGCGAAAGGATCCGCCAAGGAGTCTGAAAGAGATGTATGTGTTCGCCGTTCGCGAAAGACGAAGCGAAGGCTGATTGGAGGTATGCTTGTTCGCTTACATATTTGCAGACCCCACTCTCTTGTAGACACAAAGATGCGCAGCACTTTGCTTTGCGTCCTCCCCACCAGAGGCAATGGTGGCGCCAAGCAAAACCTTGGCTGGGCTATTCTGGGGCAAGTTTTTTTGCGAAAGCACCGCGAAAGACCGACAAATTGGTGTATATATTTCAAAGTATGTTGCATGCTCAAACGCAAACTTGTCCTTTTCCAAACTCAACCTACTTATTCAGATGCATGTCTTCTTTCAACAATGGCTCCAGAGCGCACGCTGCAAACAAAGACGTGCGGCGTGTGGCTACGGAGTCGCACAAAGTTCGCGAACATGTAGCGAAGAGTTGGCGTTTCCCAGAAGCAGGAACTTTTACAAATTGCCGAATGTACAAATTAAAGGGACACCAAAACAGAGGGATGTATCATTAGTGCACATATGGATGTACAAATGGGTTTGCTTTCCTTGTTGGCTGGACTGGAATAGCCTTTTAACTTGTTGAAAGGTGCGTGGGTCCATCCACTAGCATCACATGGACCACATTCTGCAGGCATCAGATCGAGCAACCCGATGAAACAATTTTCCTTTGACGCGTTGGAAGTAACTTGGGACATCTAAGGGTGGGATTTCGACATTTTGCCTCCACAATTCTTGTGGTTGTCGTTGTGGTTTTGCAAGGGGGCGGCGCCCCTTTTCGAAGGAGCCAATTTCTGCACCATGTGCCAAAGTGTTTGGAAAAATCCTGTCATTTCGAGACAGGCCCCTGCTTGAAAAGGAGCCCTTGCCAATGTACTTGTTGATCTTGACAGGAGCCATTCCGCACCAGCTTCGTCCCCCCCGCCGGCCTCTCAGAGTTGTGTCGCCGGTAGCCGCTCGATTCCACATGTTCTCCTGGGGGATGAAGTCCTGTTGTCCGTTGCTCAAGTGTTAAAGCGTCTTAGAGGGATATCGATGTTCATGACTCAAACGCCAACGCGGTCAATCTGTGTCCCTTGTGAATGCCCCTGATACACAACACATGTACAAAAGCCTTCTTTGAAACGAGGCCGCTAACACTTTCATGGTGGATATCTTTGAAGTGAATATGTGATGGGTAATTGTGTTTCAGGAAAAGTGCCTTTTTCAGGGGAGCAACGGTCTTTCAGTGCAGAAAGGATGATTTTTTCAGGGATGCTTCAAAAGGCAACTTCGCTGACTCTCAGACCTCCCAAGGGCAAAACTGTATCGCCACCTTTGGCATATCCCCCTTGTTTCCTTGTATAGTCTAGGTCCCCCGGTAGTGCCCTTCCTCACCCTTTTTTGGTTTGGGAGGGTTCCCCTACTACAATAGACTACAGGAAAAAGGGTACCCTTATTCTAACCTCTGTACTGGAGGACCTAGTAATTTTTGCGGGTCAGTTGATCCTCGAGAGTTTGGCTGGGTGATTTGTTTCGGTCGAATCGGAGTAACCAGGCCAAAGTGTTCTGCTGTGGGTCCTCTCAAGGGACACAAAAGCTGAAGAACCCTCCAAATCTGCGCCCAGGCTCCTATTTCATGTTTGAAGACCACCTAAAGCTACCAGAACCTTTGGTTTGGCCTTCCATTTGTTTGCATTCCTTTGGTTTGGAGAGGGACGGCCGCACGGCCGCGCGATACGCGCGCCGCGCGCACGGCTCCAGGTGCAGCAGCCCAGCTTTGTGGACCCCACAAGCTTGGTGTCCGGCACCACCGTGCCCAGCAGGCGACGAGAAGCTTGCAGAAGTCGAGCGCATTTTCTTGGGCCCGCCTTTTGTTTTGGGAGTTTGTTGGAAGGTACCTCGACATACCTGGACCCTCCAACGTCCCATGATTTTTGTTGGACATATTGCTCAAGAATTTGGGATGGCTCCCTTTGTTAAAGGCAATTTGAGGGTCCAGGTGCCCCTTTGTAGCTTAAAAGGAAATCCAAGAGAAAACAATCCATTTTTGTGGTGTCCCATATTTTAAGACACCAGTTTGACAGTTTGTGGAGGTTGCCAAAGTCAGAAACCCGGTTGTTCCCTTTAAACCTACCACTTAGGGGCTTGGCCCATTGGCCATGGCGAGAAGGGGGGAAGCCACGCTCAAAGGAAAAACCCAACGAGCTCGCATTCTCTTTTGGACAAAGCACATGACATGCCTTGTACTGGGTGGAGCAAAGACATGGAGTATGATGTTGCCAAGCGGAAACCAAGAGGGCTGAGGCGACTGGTACCTGTTCAGTTGTTGCAAAATGTTGCAAACCCTTTTTTCTATCTCCCAAGTTGTTGCTTAAATTAAGTAGGCACTCAATCGATCCTTGCCTGTTGGGACCCAGTCGGGGTGTCTTACAATGAGGGTCTCCTGTTGCGAGAAACAGCTTATTGCTTGTTTCCACAGGGAGACCAAAAATACATCAGCCTTTTTGTTCGGCATCCTCATTTGGAGGCGTGTCTCGTCTCAACCCTTGCAGCAAACATGTTTGCCAAAGGCTTGCTTAGCAGACATTTGGTTTGGTTCCCTTAGTTGCTTTCCCCTGACATGGGTTCCAAATCCTCTAGGGTTGCGCCTGAGAAGGTTCGAAATTGGACGAACCCCATGGCTCCTTCTGAACTTCGAATTCTCCGTTTGCTGTTGCGTCGTCGTGGGTTTCCCCATGGTCTCTATCGGCGTTCCCAGCTTTGCCTTTTGGCTTCCCTTGGCTTGGCTTCGCTCGGCAAACTTCGGCCGGTGTCAGGCTGATGCTTTTCTTCGAGTCCAACCTGGAGTTCGGGGACAGCAGTGTGCCGCTTCCTGGCCAGGAGTGTTCACCCAAGTCTGAATCCGGCAAAGCTGGCCTCAGTGTTTTATTTTGTGTTTTTTTTTTTTTTTATCAAAGTTCACCCCTAAGTGGTGGGTTAAAGGGAAACAGCCCCTTTTTCTGACTTTGATAAGCCCCAGAAACAGTGAACATAATGCCTCTGCAAAATGAATGATCTGCTCTCCCACAAATTCACGTGGAACCCAAAAAAGGTGGTGGGTCCCCGCCAAGTGCGAATGGCTGGTATCAGGGCTTTTCCGAATGTTTGTTTTCAGGTTTTCCCTCTTGACCTACGTTTTGGGCAGACCGAGTGTGGTCGAGACTTTCTCTTGGCGAATCCACCGAAGTGAGACGTCCATCCCCATTTGTGGGAGCTCTTTTGGAAGGGGACAGAATTATTCAAGAACTGGCCACTTGCCAATCCTCCCAACAAACTCTCACAATAGGCTTAAGGCAACATGAGGTCATACCTGCGACCTCTGAAATCATTCTACGTCTTCGGGTTCACCTATGGACAAGAATCCAAGATACGATTTTCGGCTGGGGGTCAAAAGCTGAGGTTAGGTCGCCTTAAAAGCTTTGCAGAAGTGGGCACGGCTCCTAAAGCCCGCCTCAGTGGTTTCCCTTTGCTGAATTGCTGATGTGGGTCGACATCCTGGGGGGGGGAGTCCTTGGTGGGTAATTAAATGGAGCATCATGTATACCCAGGGCCCAGAACTTCCAGTCTGGTTCGGTGTAAGCATCCCTTCCTGCAGTTTCTTCTTCGGGGACTCGGCCGTGCCGGTTTATCCTTTCTACAAGCAGTCAATGGGACGATAGGTTGGGGAATAGGTTGTATGCCCGACCAACAAAGACGGATACCCCTCCCTCTTTGCTTGCCTCTTTTGCCCTTTCACTTCACAATGCTTTCCTTCATGCTCCCTTTCAACCGACAACAAGTTAGCTTCTTGCAGGGGATCTAAGTCTTCCCCACTAAAGACTCCTTTAGAACGGGGACTGAGTGACTGGTCCGTAACCAGCCAGTCCAATTTGGAGGAAAGAGTCAAAGTAAACATGTGCGGGTATTCTCAATTTGATTGTCGGGGAAGGATGTCATTTGCGGCATATATACAAGTATATATATATATATATGAAGTACCGTCAAAATTACTTCTGTTGAGTTTAGTATTTGGTGTTTCATTGATATTGTGAACATGCACAAAACCATGGCAAACGATAGGGGACTCTCAAAAAAACGACACCCCTGGAAGAGGATGGACACGCTGGAAAACGACAGGGGACTCTCAAACTAAGTAGCGAAACGGCCGCAAGTAAGTAATTTCGACCGTGCCTCATATATGTATCATTCGATGGTCACTGAATATGGATTTCAGAATCTGAGTATTTTATTCTTACTTGGGCAACAGGGCAACAGCTGAGGCGGTCATGTTCACCAAGCTTGAAGTGTTACTGTTGATGTGGCTGTGGGTCAAAAATAGGTACCCAAAAAGGAGCCTTGGTAAATGAGACCAAGGACTAACATTTGCGGTCCATATCCTGGTGGTTCGATTTTGACCCTTACCCAGATGCCGCCAAAGATAGGAGACAACATGCGCGGTGTTAGGGGACATCGGTACATAGTTTCACCACATGTGGTGGTCTCGGCCAAAGATAAGCCACTTCCCAATGACCAACATGGAACTCGCTCACTAGAGAGTCTCTTTTTCATGGGCATGTGGCATGTTAAAGCACCGGTAAGTGTCAGAGTTAGTCGGGATGGTCAATGAACCATGTAGTAGGGAACTTGCTCAGCCATCAAAATGATGCCATGATGGACCAGCTGAGTAGTCTTTGTCCACGTCACAATGTTCGGGGTCCCAAAAAGAAAGAGACACCCATGTGCCGTTTTGCCCTTTGGCCCAAAACCGGGCCTTTGGTTTTGACGGAGCGAGGCTCAGCATTTGCCCCACACTGGGCGTGGACACGGGGCCGTGCCAGTGCGTGGCTTGGCGGAAGGTTGCGAGCCAGGGTGTGGGAAACCAGGTGAACCTTCCATTTGGAAGCCGAAAGGGTGGCCTGGGTTGCCGGGAAAGATCAGAAATGTGCAATACGATGCAGGGAGGAGAGGAGCCTCCATAATTTGCTTGTCTGCAAAGTGCAACAAAGACAACGCCTCACCCGTTGGGCAACTGGATCTGCTGGCAAAGAAGCAAAGCAACAGACCCACAACCGGCATTGCTCGCAGATAGCAATTTGGGCTCTAAACCGTCCCGTTGAAGCACATCCCTCAAACCACGGGTTCATTCATCCTAGGTCCGCTTGAGTCTAATATCAAGCTGCAAGTTAGGGTCTTATTTGGGGGAAACCAAGGGGGCAGAGGGGAGTTGCTTTTGCCCCCAGTTAACCCCAATGAACAGCCCCTGCAGACTCTTACATCTAGGCTTTCTGAAGGAAACCACAAATGGACGACAGGGTTCAAGGAGAAGGGAGAATTGGAGGAAAGGAAGGAAGCACAGGATGGACGAACAGAGAGAGAGAGAGAGAGAGAGAGAGAGAGAGAGAGATGTCAACTTTTTTGGGATCAAGTTGACCCCAGGCCGGCATGGCAACTGTTTGGCTTCAAGGTCAAACAGGGGTTACCAGGCTGGCAACGTGCCGATTCGGGGGTTAATCCGACGGCGCTGGTGGGATTTGTGGTTTCCCTCAAAACAAAACTACCCGGTGGTCCTCATGGGGGGGTCCCCCAAATCAGGTACCCAATGCGGCCGGTCGGTGGGCAACCCAAATGTCAACAACACTGTCCGCAACTCATACCTGGGATTCAAATTCACGCGGTGCAAAGTCACAAGATAATATTACAGATGTCAAAAACGCGCCCCAAGCATCAAATCTTGGTTTTGCACCTGTGAAGAACCGGCCTTGGTGTTGCAAGACCAAAACCCACTGCCTCAAGAAAAAAGCATGAACTTGCAACAACAAGAACCGGCCTTGGTGTGTGAAAAAACATCTCCCACCACCTCCCTTCAAACGGCGCGGAACCGCGAGGTGAGTGTTGCGGACTGCGCCTCCCGATGCCTCCGCCGCGATGACATCTCCGCCGGGGCCCACGGGGCCCAGGAGGGTCTGATGGGCCACGGGGCCCAAAGGGAAAGCCGGAAGTCCAAAAGGCGTGCGGATGGCGCCCTTTGCAGGGTGGATTTATGAGGGGGAAAGGGAAAGCCAACCATTTTGTGAGGGGTACCATGGGTACCCTATTTTGAGAACCCAAGTGTAGTGCTCCAGAGTGAAGAACCTTCAACTTAGATGTCCTCAAGTGGGGGGGGTCATCAACATTGGACCCGATTTGCCAGGATAGATCACAAGCGCCAAAAAGATGGGGACCAAAACGTTGGCCGAACCTGGAAGCCACACGAGTTCTGGCAACTTTCCGGAAACCAAAGGGAAAGCGGTGGGTGGTGGCTTAGAATCACCAGTTTGGGGGGATTCCCTAAAAATCGCACACCCAGTTGTTTAGCGTTGTTGTTTTTCAGGTTTTGCCACTTGGGGAAGGAATGCGACGTTTCTCGATTGATTGATTTCTTGTCCATACTCGGAATTTGTGCCGCAAGAGAGTGGGGAAGTTCCTCCATTTTCATTTTCAGAACCTCTCAAAGTGGCAGTTTCAGTGGAAACCACCAGACAATTGCAACCCTTGAAGGGGAAATCGGGTGACTCCCGCAGTTTCCTTAGGTTTACGTTTGTTTTGACATGCTTTTGACCTTTTGGAGAAGATATCGGGAGCTCTTGAGGATTTCTGGTTTCCCAGCAGCTTTCCCGTTGGAACAGAATTTCTCGAGATTGTTTTTTTGTGTTTTTTTCAATAACTAGTAAGTGTTTTTGCTGTTTAATGTTTGTTGAGCCTCTACACGTATCTTTAGGTCTACCGTGTTGTTGGAAACCACAAGGAAGACACGCATTTGAGTATGTGTCGAAGTAGGTGCCCAAAAATTGGCGTGTGTTATTCCTGATGGCTTTCCTTGAAAGCAATCCGGAAAGCCTTCAAAAAGCCTTTGCCTGGTACTACGGGCCATGTGTCCCGCTCAGAGTGGTCGAATCGACGTCCTTTTCGAAGGGGTCCTTTTGCTGAGCCCTGGGCTCACCAAAGAAACACGCGCGGGGTACCCAAAACCCGGCAGAACGCCAGACCCAGGTCTCGCTCATGAGCTCCCGAGTTCTCTTCGTGGAGTTCGGAGCGGTGATGCGCCCCTTGACCCAGTGCCCCTACGACGTGATTGTGGAGGCGCGGGGTTCAAACGGGATCCTTTGGTTTGTTGGGAAACATTTTACATGTTTGCTTATTGTGGTTTCGTGGGAAATCCCCACTCAGCTAACATTTGAATTGTTGCTTCCCTTCCGACGTCAACCAAGCTTTGATGCGCGCCGACACATCGAATGGGTCATGGGCGAGGCTCAGCCCAGGAGATCTTTGGGGGTGGATCGACATTCCATTTGGGGCCTCCAGTTTTGACCAAGGGCGACGTTTCCCATGTGGGAAACATCGTATCTTTTTGAGTCGTTCTCCAAGCAAAGGTCATCCCATGTAGAGGACCTTTTGGTTAAACCCGTTTCTTTCCAGAGTATCCAGTTTTGCCTTGGATGTGAAAAGAACCGTCTTTGGGGTCCCGTTTTGAGCCACAATTGCAGTACCCAGGTATACCCAGGCAAGTGAAAGCAGCCTCAACCATCAATGTGCGGCAAGAGTCCCTGTCCCATGTGGCTGTGGCTCAAAATTAAACTGGAGAGGTTACGCGGGTTTTGGTTTATGTTTCCACGTACCAAGGTTCCATTTTGGTACCAGTTTTTTGAGACACAGCCATGTGAGACCCTGGTTTTGACAGTCGAGTGAGAGAAAGCACCCCCGACGTGCCTCAGAGGTCTGCACTAAGTTTCCGGAGTCAGCTCGGAAAGGTGAATTCCTTCAAAGATACATGTGGGCCATGATTGAAACAAATATTATTTTGTGTTTCTAATATATATATATATATTTCTGCTGATGGTTGCAATCCCCTTGTGTATTCTGTGAGTTGTTGGATGTGCCTTGTTGGGAATAGAGATGAATAGAGTAAAATGCAGCTCGATCTGGTCGTTCAGTTTGTGCCAGCCATCATGGTACCCTCCCTCACAGGTCCTGGAAGACGGGAAGCGGGCAACACTCAACGTCCAGATCCTTGCGCATGCCCGGCCCAACTCATCCCATGTCCGGCGAATGTACCTTATGAAATGACAATGAGCGATGGGGGAGAAAACGAGCCCGAGGATGAGGTCACATACGGAACATTTTGCATTGAACATAAGAGCCAAAGCCTGGATGCAGCATGACCGGACTGCGTGTAAACATCTCTTCAATCAAACAAAGGGATGGATGGGGGTTAACTTGCCCAGACCTGCTAGTTAACACCGAGCCTCAACACGGGTGTTTGATGGTGTTTGCTGCAGGTGGGGGCTGTTGGTTGGATGATGGTTGAAAGAAAACCTCAAGAACGCGGCAAAGCCATATAGTATCCATGGTCCATTCCCATTAAACACCTAGTATCATCAGTTCAAAAAATGAGGATATCGCACGAGTGGTTCATTATCCGAGGGGGAAAACACAACTTATTCCTTCGGCTCAAACATCCTCAGTACTACCGGGCCATAGATCCTACTGAGACCTCATTATTCAGAAGCCCATGGATAGTTCACAGGGTGCCGCCTGTCAGGCATCCTTCAGTCAGGTTTAACCCCGCCCCCTCCCCCGCTGTACTAATCCGTTTGACTTATTTTGATTTTGATGGCAAAGGAAAACCACCACGCAACCACGCAACCAGCCACATTTGAAGGGTATCCTTACGGGAACACCCATATCAGGAGTCGCGTTTCGCGTGTTGATGGGCATGGGCTCGACGGTCCTGAAAGCTGCTTTCGCAGGAGGGTTTCCTCCAAACGCAGCTGCGGCCAGCAAAGCTATCGCCCAGGCGGGGAATTGGGTTGTTGCTTGAAGTGGCCAAGGCTGGGTTCAAAAACCCGCCGGTCCACTTCGGGCCCCTCGAACCATTGCCTCTGCCCTGTGTCGAAGAATCATGGCAGTGGACGGGGGGGTTTAACCAAGCAAAAGTCTTCAAAAGTCTTCAAACTCCCTCCTATAGTCAACTTCCATGACTGCAGGAGAGAGAATGCCGCTTTGTAGGGCCTACATTGTGGCTGCACAGCCCATGAAGCTCAAATCTCCCATCAAGCCTAAGCTGGGTCAGCGCTTGTTATCATTTGAAGATCTCTTTTCGGCAGACATGAATTCCTTTCCTGTAGTTGTAAGATCGATGAAAGGAGGTGTCTCCACGTGGGGCTTCGAAGCTTCGAGCCCTTTGGCCAGACCTGGGGACAAAACGGGTGCCGCTTTTGTTGTGTTTGTTTTATGGCACCTCTTTGTTTGCTGGTTTGAAAGGGAGCCCAACAGAACACGGAAATCCTTTTTTGGTGGGTCCGATTTCGAAAGAAAGACGGGTCATGGTGTTCTCGGCTTCCGTTGGTTTCCTTGGGGTCAATGGTATGCACTGCTCGGGTGTCCAAGCAACCATTTGTTGGACCTCGTTTGGGGCCACAAACCCCACTAAATGCAGGCTTCAACTGTGTGCCCCTTCTCAGCAGGGTCCTCCTACGTAGTTGTCCCCCTGTGTATTCAAACATTAACCCGTCTGTGAGTTTTAAACATCACCTTGTGGCCCAATTTCTGAGTTTCCTGCGAGGCGAGAGGGGCCATGATTCAGGAACAATGCAGGGAGCCCTGAATTCTTCCCGCGTATTCTCATCACACCTGTGCCGGCGCAGTGTTGCGCTTGTATAGCGAACGCCCGGTCTGGTTCCGGCATCGTTTTAGCAAGAACCTTGAATAGAATTTCCAGTCTGCCACTGCTGATTTTGCAGGAACAGCTCACGTCAGTTGCAAGCAGGGTGCACACCAAGTCAAGCCGTTTCCGCACACGTTGTGTTTTTAGTGTACCATGGTCAAAAGATCCCCTTCCTTGTGGTTGCTAGGGATGATCATCAACCACATGGTGATTGTAGACAACATCACACACGGGTTCTTTGTAAGAGAGCCATGACTATGGCCTACATGGAACTTTTGACCATGACATACGGGTCTGTCCTTGTTGAGGTACCCCTTTTTGTGGATTTAAAGGGAAACCAAGAGGAAAACTACTTCCTCTTTTTTTTGGAGGGGGGGGGAAGGACACACCCAATATGCTCTAAGCCTCAAGTCGCAGGGTCTGAGAACCCCACTGCAGTTTCGGGCGGAATCACGCAGCCCTAAATGTGCTTAGCGTGCAATAGCCGCGGGGGTATGGGCCCTGGTGGCTTGTTGTTTGGTAGGTACTCCACTATCACTGCTTCATGATTGTTTTTTGCGATCACCTGCGGTCTTTGGGTAAGTCAACCACTATGCTCCGCTCATCTTTGTTTCCGGATCCCTGCAATGACTGGGTTTTTCTTGGCAGACGCTCACGTTTCCTTCGAAAGCACCGAGTCGCGAGTCTGCAGGGTGACCTGGAACTTCACCTACTCCCCCCCTGTGCCGCTGGGGGAAGTCTCCCTGCAGCAAAGCGACACCACCTCCCTGCTGGCGCCGTGGCAACCGGCTTCCGAGAATCCGAGCATCGTCCGGGTGAGCGCTGGGGGCGATGGAGAGCAACTGGGTTTGATCTGTGTTTTTTTTGGAGGGTACCTTTGGTAAGGTTGGTTGAAAGGGGAACCAGGCGGAAAACATCATTCCAACCGCTTACCTGGTATCTAACTGCACAATATATGATTTTACTAGAAGGAATACCAGCGGGGGTGACTGTGTTCAACAGTTTTGTCCGCGCGGCCTACCTGTATAGCTGGGGCCTCTTCAATATATAGTGCCGGTTCCATCAGCTGAGTCCGGCAGGGAAGTCGCACTCAGAGCAGGTTTGTCTAGGTTTCCCAGTAGTGCCCTTTTACCGTTTCTTTTTTGGGGGAGGCTTCCACTACAAAAATAGACTGCAGAAAAACGGGTACCCTTGTTCTAACCTCTGTACTGGAGGACCTAGTTGTGTTTGTGAGTTGAAACCCAAATGGGCCAAAACCGCGGGGTGTTGGGATCATTGAACTCTCGGGCGGGGTAAGCTTAACACACTGCGCTTTTCAGCGGTGGGGGAGGATGGTGCAGCTTCAGTGCCTCTTGGCCAGTGGGCACATGGCAACATCGACGCCGTTTTCAGGCGTGGGGTTTAGAGGTATGGCCGCTTATACTCACTTCCTGAGTTCATGAACTTTAAACTTTTTGGGAAGACCATTTTAGTGGCAAATAAAAAGTTTGGACTTTCTTTAGGCCATCCACTCGGCAAGTGAGTATATGTCTTTGTTGGAGGTTGCCCCCCCAAAAAAAGTGGTTTGCTTTTGGTTTCCCTTTACAAAACACCAAACACGGGGTGCTGCCCAAAAAGGCACCCACCACAAGAGGTACAGCACTATGTTACCCCTAGATTTCACTGGCTTTCTAAGCTTCACCTCCAAACTCCATACCACTCCATGGCTGAAAGGGTTTCTTCAAGATGGTGTCCACTGCAACAGAAACACTCGCCCCCTCTTTATCTGGTGGCCATGTAGTGGCTCCATATCCTAGTAAACCCCTGGGGGGTAGGGTTTTATATTGTTGCCAACCCCCCCACATGTGACATACAGAAAAGGGGGTGCCAGGGGAGGGTACCCTTTTTTTTCTGCTTGTGGACACCATCTCGGAGAAAGTCCGAGAGCACTGGCGAAGACGTGGAGCTGAAGGTCATCGAGCATCGGAAGGTGGACAGCCAGCGGAGCTTTCCCATCTAATCATTTGGGCGTGGGTCAAAAATAGGTGGGCCCAAATGGAACCCTGGAAAGTGGAAAGCTGGACTAAAACCTGGTGGTTTAATTTTGACCCATACCCATTTGTTCCAGCTTGTTTTGAACTGAACCCCTTCATATCCCTTCATCATCAGCCAGCCAAAGAAGGACGCATGCCAGGAGTTCATGTCTCAGGGTTCCTTGAAGATCCGTTGCCAAGTCCCCGCTGGGATTGAGAGAGGCTGAGTGTTGCTTTGAAGTCACAGTACTGTCTTTGGTTGCATTCCAAGATGGAATGGGTGTCAAGTTCCGAGAGGGGGCCCAGAATAGACCCTATAGACTTTGGTTGGATGCGAACAAAAAAGGTTCAGTCTTTGCTGACCTTGAAAGCAGTTCTTCATTTGGTTCTATCCCTGGAAAAGTTTTTCTCAAAGGCTATGTTGTTCACCCAGTTGCTTCGATCAGTGGGGATTTGAACCGTACTCAACCTTCAAGCCAGACATATAGGGGTGGCACCAGGAGACTGGCCCCATAAAACGAACCAGTTGACCCCCGGCCACTGCAAACTGACCTCCCCCAAAACCAAGAAATCCCCCAAAATGGCACAGCTGGAGTTTCTTGTGAATTCTGTCCATGTTTCTACTTGGGCCACTCTGGGGGGGATCTGGGCTTGTGAATCTGGGCACCACCGGGTCGGTTCTGAGGTGCACGTGTCCTGGGACACCCCGATGACCACGGTCTGCGGGGTTTCCAGTGGAGCAGGCGCCCAATGGGCGAGCGAGGTCATTTGGACCAATGACGCTCACCAATCGGGAAGTAACACCAGCGAACGCCCGCGCAAGCTGCTTACTGGGGGAAATTCCTGCTTTTGGTTCGGTTTGAAAGTTATCAGGGTGAGGTGTCGTTTGAGGGAGGAAATGAGGTGAGGGATGCTCCCAACCATCATATTGTCCCATATCAAGGGTAGGGTCCCAGAATTGCAACCATGCCTCTTGAAGGCCTTTGCCGGCCTTGGCGAGGCCACTTGAGTGATCAAAACCTATGGGTACTAAAATTTGGTCGATCCCCAGAAGCCTGGTGTGTCTCAAAATAGGGAACCCCCCATATAAGAAATAGTATTGGGGCACACAACTACCCAGGGGCATACATGTAGTTTCCTAATGGTTTCTTTGGGTTGTTTTTGCGTACTCTTTGAGTTTGTTTGTTTCTTTTCGTTGGCACCTCGAGCAAACAGCGTGTGAATGGAACCACACAATGATTGCGTTGCAGAGACTTTGAGACCACCTTGAAGTTGTGTCTACAAAGGACACTTAAACGGAAAACCCGCCCACGGCGGGGTCCCTAATTTGTCCTCCTGATCCAAGCTTTGTTGATTGGAGGAAGTCTGGCACTACTGGAAAGAAAGCTAGCCATGTGCATGGTTATCCTCTAGAAAGTATATCCTAGCTCATTCCTTATTCCTAGCCCATACCCTAAACCATAACCACCCAAATAGTAGACGCCCCCAACCCCCGTCCCAATACCTGGAAGCGCTGGGCTGGCGGCTTCATTGTGGGCCTTCCAGTTGCCAAAGATTTTGTGATTGTTTTTCCTTGTTGGTTTCAAAAGGTTTTGTGGTGTCCCTTGTTGGTTTTGAAGGGAATTTATCACTGGCACTATGCTTCTGTGGTTTTTCAGTGGACTTAAGCAAGTGGAAGACAAGCCCAACTGACGTAGCACTATTTGGTAGTGTGCCCGGTATTGACAAGGGTTTCATCCATGCCTGGCGCGAAGTGGATATGTCCCATGGGCATGTCATCGGAATTTGCCCATGCTCTTTGGGATTTTGGTGAGTGTGCCTAATGTCAACTCCTTTGATGCAAACTTGCGATTGTGTCACCCGGTCCTTGGGTACAGTTTGGGTACTTGGCAATCCGTAGCTTGGGGCAAACCACTTTGCCAAGTGAAGTTGCCAACTGCTTTTGACACGCCGAAGCCCAAATCTGGATGGCGAATCCCTGGTCTTTGGCCAAGGTCGGTTGAGACTTGGCCTTTGCCTTTCGCCTCGCCAGTCAGCATTTTGAGGTTTCGATCCTCGGAAAAAGGATCCAGCGAGCATTTCTGCCCAAGGATTGCCGCAGAATTCGATCGGTCGATCGGTAAGTTTTCTCTGGAAAACCCATGTGTTTTGGCCAGCAAAATGAGCATGTTGCTCACATACACTCCTTCAACATGGAAGCTCCCAGAAGGCCTTTGTACATGGGAGCCAAGTCTTCCAAACCAGGGGAGCTCACATGGAATCGCCTGGGGGAGGGTAGATGGGAAAGTGGTTCTCGCCCACTGACAAAGCCGGCCAGACCTGCTGCAGCAGACGGCGCCTGCAGACTTCACGGGGTCCCGGGGATTCCTGGAAGCGCCTCGGCTCAAGAAGCACTTTGACCTTTCTTGCTGCTGCGAGAGATGCAGGGAATGAGAAATGGAATGACCCTTAGACGCCATCCCTGTGGCTTTTAAGGGAATCCCCTTCCGGTTCATTCCCACATTCCCTGCTGAGCACCAGCAAGCTTTCCACCAGAGCAACAGGGTTGACCAACATTTTCTCTTTTGCCGTGTTGAATCGTTTGAACATCAGCTTTGGGTCCAATTCGAAGTGAGTTTTGCTTTGGTGATGTTCGAAGGAGAAGTACAGGGAGCCCCGACTCAGGAAATCTCAACTTGGGGGAGGGAGTAATGTTCAGGTGAGTGACAAAGCAAGGCTTAGTCTCCAAGCCGGTGGACTCAGAAAAAGTGGTCCCCTCCAAAGACATCTCCCTGTTTCAATCCTCATGGTTGGTTCGCCTTTCTGCATGTCAGTTCTGTTGCTTATCCGAGCAGACAACAGGTACTCGCAAGTGGCCATGGATCCCACCAAAGCTTCCCGCGGGGAAAAAAAGGGAAACAAAAAAAAACAGTCACAACCGGTGAGTTCCAGTGGTGAAATTTGGAGAGCAGGCCGGCATGCCTGTTTTGTTTTTGGATGCAGTTCATTTGCCGTGTAAGAAAGCTTGGGCTATGATGAAGGTTCTGTGCTCGAAAGTCTCTTGTTGCCAGTTTGTGAGTCATAGCAATTTGCCCGGGTTCTTGGCAGTTTATGGCCAATGAGGCGTTCGAGACTTAAATATTCACTAAATTTCACTCACAAAGACCGTCAGGGTTTTCCTCGTGTCCACTTTGACAGTGGCTCATGTCTCAGAGACATGTCTGGACATCTCCTGACAAGCTCAATCACACACAAAGGCTACGGGGTCCCATGATTTGCAGGTAATGTTGTCATTGCTTGATTTGTTGCTTTAAGCAAGTCTTGCTTGGAGGTTGCTTGCTGAACCAAAGCGAAACCTTGAATTCTTGTATGGTGAACTAGGTCACTCAACGCACCAAACGAGTCCGGGGCTCCTGGTGTAGATGTTGTTTGTTTCGTCCGGGTGTTGGGAATGAACCGTTTGGTTGGGGATTCCCTGAAGGGAAATACAAGGGATTGGTTATAGGTGTCATTCCATTTCTCATTCCCTCCCTTTCGCACCGGCAAGTTTTAGGGGAACCCCAGCATGGCTGTGGTTTTCCTTAGGGTTTTGGGAGATAACCAGCGATTCTGGGAATCAACCCGGGGATTCCTTAAAGAACACCAAATCAGTGATGTTTGTTTTTGTTTTTTCTCTGGTCATTCCAACCAATGAACCTCAAGATTCCCCGGGAAATCAACCTTGGCTGGTGTCTTTGGAGGCATTCCACGTCTCATTCCCCGTTCTCTGTATACTTTGTCCCAGTTACAAGGGGGGGAAGGGCCCCTCTTGAGCATCTGCGCCCTCACCCATCTCTATACTCATGAGCATCCCTAGTCTGCTTTGATTGGAAATGGTGCTTCGAACCTCCCTGGGTCCCTCTGCATCTCAGCAAGTCCTGGAGGTGCTCATCACCGGCCTAGTGCCGTCCACCCAGTACACGGTGATTTGCCGAGGCCGCCGGCCATCGATGCCGCGTTTGAGGGGACGCGAAGGCTTCGACACGTTGAACCGTTGACTCGCAGAAAAATTTATGGGCGGAGGTTCCCCAACTTCCCTTTTGCCACAACAGCTAAATCTTCCTCTCACTTGCAATCCACTTCACTTCACCGGCTCCTTCCGAAGCACTTGCAAGTTCCACTTTTGTCGTTTGTTCCAATCCAATCCACTTCACTTCAGTTCCAATCCATTTGCTTTACTCTCATTTGCAAGTTCCAGGCGACTTCCGCCTCGCTCCAGGCTCTGCTATCGGAGATCCCATCCTCACGGCGGAGGCGCGGGGCTTGCTGTCCGGTCCTGCATGAGCTCCGCGGCGGCCAGTGCGGCCAGGGGTGCCCGAGTTCCTTTTTCGGAGGGGGGATTCCCTGAAATCAACGGCATCTAGGTGTTTTTTTTTCTCCAGTAGTGCCCTTTTACTGTTTCCTTTTTGGTTGGGAGGGTTCCCCTAGTAAAATAGACGACGGAGAAAAGCTGGTACCCTTATGCTAGCCTCTCTACTGGAGGACCTAGGCATATTTTGGGGTCCCTTCTTGGCCCATGGCGACAGTCTGGGCTTGACCAGGGTACCCTTGTCAGCTGGCTATTCAGGAGTACCGAATTTATATTTTGTCTTATACCCACGGGGGGGGGGGGGAGAGCAGCTTAGGAGCCGAATTTCTATTTGTCCTATACCCACGGAAGGGGGGGAGCAGCTTGGGAGGAAGCTTTGATTCAGGTTTGCCAGCTGAGATGCACTCAAGCAAGAGGCTTTGGTTGTTGTTGTGGATGCAGGGGTCTCGAGATTACTTTTGGGCGGCTCAATTTTAAACTACCATGTCGGAAAAAATTGGACTCAGCAAAAAGCCGCAGGTCACGCGAGAAGGTTTCTCTACAGCGAGGGACACTAACGACCGGCTGTCGAGCATCACCTTGAACATCGAGGCAGTGTGGGGCCGGCGGGCGCGGGGGCATGTTGGCCAAGAGATCTAGGAGATGAAAGTAGCGGACTTTTTCCTGGCGAGACCTAGTTAGATACTGTGGGGTAAATGTGTAGACACAGCTGCAAGTTTTTGCAAGGGTCATGAGCTCACTTGAGCTATCGGTTTTCTAAAATGGTCCAGTCTTTTTGTTTGTTTCTTCCATGTCAATTTGTAGGGGAGCAGTTTGGTTTCAGCACCATCATCAATTGTGGTTGGTTTTAATTGTTGTGGTTGAATCTGAATCTGGTTTCAATTTGCTTGGTTTCAAGTGGATTATATCTCCTGGTTTCCCTTTGGCAAATGAGCAGTTCGCGATGCTTCGCAGGAGCAAGCCAGCGAATGGGAGTCCCCGCCTCCAGTCAAGGTGTTGCACTACGCAAATCAAAGAAGGAGAGTAGCCGGAGCCCAGGATCGATCAACGAATCAAGGGGCTAACATAGTGGGTGTCCCATTTAAGAGGGAATCCTTCACTGGGAACCGCCTTTGAGATCCACAAGCTTTGTTTGGCCAGTGTCGACTTTGGGCCAAATGTGCTCCTTCTGCCACCGTTCTGGGACTATTCCGCTGCAAAGCTACGGAAGGAGCAAGTAATGGGGTTTCCCAAAAACCAGGTTCGACTAACTAAACGCATTTGTGTGTTGAGTTCCATATCGATCTGCTTGAGTGGTCCGGGAGCTAAGCCCAACTCAACCTAGTAAACCCATGTACACCCATGTAGCTAGGGTAGCTAAACATTTAGCTAACCCCCTGACCATTTAAGTACTGCTTACAGGGAAATTCAAGGCCTTCCTAAGTTCCAGGTTTGAACAGATGAGTCACAACCCAAACCCGGATGATTTTCCGGGTAGCAAGGAATAATCCCAGTCATAAATGGGTGCGGATATCCGCCTTTTGAGTTCTTCACATGATTCTGGGAAGATCATTGTGTGTTTTCATTTTAGTATTGTAATACCAGGTATACATTTTCATACCAAGTTAATGACTCAGATGAGCCACAATCAAAACCCGGGTAGATGAAGGTTAGTAAGGGGCAGTCCCAGCCAGAAATAGTTGCTGATATCCGCCTTCTTAGTTCTTTACCTGGTTCTGGGTCGACCATGTTAATAGCATGGGGGCTGGGGGGGAGGGAGGGGGAGGGGGAGGGAGCCCAAATAAGCCCTTAATAAGGCCTTATTTGGGGCTTACCCCAGCCCCCATGATTTGATTGTGACTCAGGTGGCTTTAAGGTTTTAGGGGTCTCCGGTTTCGACCGCGGGGCTTTTCGCCGCGCCTCGATAGGCGGTCTGCTCGGAGGGCCCAGCTGTCTCGGTGGACGCAGTGCTGACGCCGCCGCAGCTTCGATCAAAACCTGGGCAGTGGTTGGGTTCGGGGCTAACACACCCTGAAATGGATTGGTGCATGTCAATGCCTTTTTGGTTCACTTGCTGAGTTTGTGGACTGGAGTCATTTTGGGGGGGGTTTGGAACATTTTAGCGGCAACTGCACAAATTTGGGTACTTTGTTTGACCAATACACTCAGGAAGTGACTTGGTTGATAGGTGTGTAAGTTAGTTTGCCTAGATGGGTCTCATGTGTGTTTACCCAAGACAAACCAGGGCCATCTAGTTTGCCAAAAGGTCGCCTATGGTTTGATTTTCAGCTTTATGTTTATGTGTTCTTTAGTTGTTTGGCAGTGGGTTGTTTGGTTTTGGTTTGTGTTTGTTTGGCTTGGTTCTGGGTTTAGTTGTTTGGTGACCGCTGTTTTTCTGTTCTTCCATTTTTTTCTCGGGGTTCCCTTCATTTTTCGGGTTCCGTTCGTGTGCCTGGTTCGCCTTTGAATGTTTCAAAGGCGGAGGTGTTGGAATCTCCTCCGCCGTGCCAAGGTTCAACCCTGCTACGCGGACTTACCTGGCGACCTTGAATGCCGACGCTTGGATTCGAGTTGGGTCGGGAGTACCGGGTAAGTTGCCCAGTGGCTCCCTTGTTTTTTTGTTGGGGAAGGGTTTCGCTTCAAAGTCAACCAACCAAAAAAGGAGGCCCTTTTTCTCCCCTGGCCACTGGGCATCTAGGGTATAGCGCAAAGTCAGTATTCGCAAGCAGCCCCTGATCCGCTTTTAAAGGGAAGCCAACCGCTGTTTGGAGGGATCCGGGTTTAAACATGTTTGATCTAATCAGGGGGCCTGGCCCAACCCCGTTGGGTACCCTCCCTTCAAGATCCCCGTTCCGCTATGTTAGTGGGACAAAGTGTACACAGCCAAGGATGGGTCCATGTGAGGGTATGCGCCATTTCGGGTATTGGAAACGTCCTTTTAGATCCTTTAAGTGTTGTTTGCTGCTTTCTTGCGTTTTCTCTCCTGCGCGTGCGCTGAAGCAACGCATGTATGTTTTTCCCTACAGTCCTCGAGGTGTAATTTGGGGTCCTTGTGAGGGAACAAGGGCGACGCAGGAGGTTGGAATCCTTTGCCATGTGTTTGTTGGGGTTGTTTTGTGCGGAAGCCCCCGAAACAGAGCTCGGTCCATGTTGGATCCAATTGAAAGTCCACCCTGTAAAGTGGATGAAACCAAAGATTTCATCACAGTATTCTTGTGGTGGTGATAGCTTTACCAACTCCAAAAGAGGGAACCATACAGGTGGGCCAAAATATCTAGAGAGCCCATAAATTGATGGTATTCCGTGTTGATTTTCCTTGGAAAACCAACCTTAACAAGGGGACTCCTCGAAGCAAAGCACACATCCGTTTCCCTTTGACCCACTCACTTCCTGAAGTCCTGGACTTTTGTCACTTTTTGGGAAGACCATTTTAGAGGTAAATAAGAAGTTGTTGTTTTTTTGCCAATTCACTCGATCGGAAGTGTGAGAATCGCACCACCCCATGGCACCGGCGAACAGGAGGACATGCGCAGCTGGTGCGGGCCCGACGAGACGGAGGCCATCCTGAGGCCGCTTGAAGCGGTTCGCAGATTTGTCGGTTCGAACGAGCGTGCGCTGGGTTGTTCTTGGAGGGTACCATGAGTTCCCTTTTCAGGTCAGTAAAAAGGGAAACCCAGGGAATATGATGGTTCTTGAGGGTACCATTCTAGCTGTACCCTCCCCATTCTCTTCAGGGATCCTTCTCTTGAAACCATGGGCAAAACCCCTGGAAAATAGGTGGTTTCTAAAGAGAATGATGGGTGAAGAGAGTGCGGAATCAAACCTTGGAACCAAGGTAGTACCACGGGTTCCCTTTTCAGGTCGGTAAGGGATGAAGGGAACCCAACGGGAAACCCTGATATATGTTGTTTTTTGAAGTTCCCTTTTCAGGTCGGTAAGGGAAGAAGGGAACCCAATGGGAAACCCTGATATATGTTGTTTTTTGAGGTTCCCTTTTCAGGTCGGTAAGGGAAGAAGGGAACCCTAAGGGAAACCCTGAAATATGTTGTTTGTTGAGGGTTCCCTTTTCAGGTCGGTAAGGGAAGAAGGGAACCCAAAGGGAAACCCTGAAATATGTTGTTTGTTGAGGGTTCCCTTTTCAGGTCGGTAAGGGAAGAAGGGAACCCAAAGGGAAACCCTGAAATATGTTGTTTGTTGAGGGTTCCCTTTTCAGGTCGGTAAGGGAAACCCGAAGGGAAGCCATCATGTTAGGGGCTCTTGGCTTGTCTCCAGGTGCGAAGAGTACATAAGACCATGTCTAAAACTAGGGGACGCTACTTTTGTTACAAGGCATGTCTCCAACTACAGGCATGCTTTTAGCAAAAGGCGTGTCTCAAAATAGGGAGCTTCCCCTTTGGTTAGATAGGACCCAGCAAAGATGGTTCGTTGGTGTTTTTGTTTGGGGCCAATAGAAGACTACCAGTCAGACATGTTGGTGGATGCAAAGACGGACCAATGTCCAGTGACGCCCACAAAACCGCTTCAAGAATCCCCTCAACGCTTGAGAAGCCTTAAGGCCGAACACTGCAAACTGGCAAGTCAAAACAAAACCACCAGGACAGGGACAGCAGGTTTTAGTCTATGTTTCCGTTTACCAGGAACACCCATGTTGGGGTTACCCTATGTTTGACCGCCACAGCCACATATGATCTGCACAGCCGTGCTTAAGGGCTTTCCGAAGGGTGCGAATGTGCTGCCCTGTGACTTAAGGACAACCTTTTTCCAGCATGCCAACCTTTTTGTTGCGGTTCCTGGCCCCCAGAAGATTGGCCTTGAGACGCAATTTGGATTTTCAAATGCTTAGGTAAATGGTGGTTATATATACCCCCATTGCTTTTGTGGTGGTTTGAACTCCAGGGATTCTGTTTGTTTTTGATTCGTTTCTTTGCTTTTAGGCACCCTTTTCTCCGAGCCACCCGTTTCCAAACATTGGATGCGGATATAGGGGGTAAATTTAGATACACTGGCTCGACGTACCGAAACAAAGACTCTGGAGGGGCAAATGCACACATAATTACCCAACCATCCAACTACCTAAATTTCTCCGAAGCCTTAGCCTCCCACCAAACAAAATCAATAAAAAGACAGCCAATTTCCTGAAGCCCTGACCAACACAGACACACACGCACACGCACCAAAAACAAAAACGTCACCCGCCCCGCTTGCCCAGTGTGCACATGGGAGCCAACGCCCAGAGCAGTTTCGCCTCCGTGAGCCTGCCACAGGCCTGGTGACATGGGTGGGTACCCCTCCCCCGCCGCCCACGTATGGTGGACACATAGAGTCCATTTTGAAACCTCCTTCATTTAGGGTATTGGTTTTTACGGTGTGTCTTTTCCCCCCCAATCTGGGTGTGTCTTTTTGAGGGTACCCTCTTGGGCAAAAGGCAATTCTCTTGAAAAAAGAGCCCAGTTTAAATGTTTGAGTGTACCCTCTTAAGCACTCATTTTTGGGAGTCCCCTATTTGGGCATGGGTCATTTTATGAAACCGCAGGATATGGATCGCAGGTTTCAGTCCTTGGTTCCATTTACCAGAATGCGTCTGAGAAAGAAACCAGCTGGTTGGAAGGGCGCTGGCATCATTTGTTTCCTTGGCCTTTCGGAGCTAAGAGAAGTTCAAAGATGCGGTAGTTTTGACCTTTCGGTTTTCCTGTGTTGGCTCATACTTTGTCAAGGTTACAAAAGGTGAACTCCCAAAAACAAGGCCCTTGCGCAAGTGAGGCACTTTTTCGTCAAGGTCATAAAAGGTGAACGGCCAAAGAAGCAAGGCCCTTGCGTCAGTGTGAGGCACGGTTTCCCTGCAGTGGCACCATTTCCACTTTTGGTGGCTGCAGTACAAAAATGGAAATTCAACCCAAGAAAGCAAACACCTTGCGCGCGTGTGTGTGTGTGTGTGTGTGTGCGTCGGTGCGTGTGTGGGTGCGTGTGGTGTGTGTGTGTGTGGGTGGGTGTCTGGGAGTGAGTGTGTTTTTGTGTTTGTGTTTCTGTTTCAATGTTGTTTTGTGTTTGTGGGTTTGTTTGTCTGTGTGTGTGTGGGTTTGTTTGTGAGTGTGTGTGTGTTGTTTGTTTGTTTGTGTGTGTGTGTGTGTTTGTGTGTTTGTGTGTTTGTGTGTTTGTGTGTTTGTGTTTGTGTGTGTGTTTATGTGTTTGTGGTGTGTTTGTGTGTGTGTGTCTATGTTTGTAGGTGTGTGTGTGTGGTCTGTGTGTGTGTGTGTGTGTTTTTGTGTGTGGTGTGTGTTTGTGTGTGTGTGTGTGTGTGTGGTGTGTGTGTGTGGGCGTGTGTGCGTGTGCGTGCGTGTGTGCGTGGCGTGGCGTGGCGTGCGTGCGTGCGTGTGCGTGTGCTGGGAGTGGGTGTGTTTTTGTGTTTGTGTTTGTGTTTGTGTTTGAATGTTTGTTTGTGTTTGTGGTTGTTTGTGTTTGTGTCTGTTTGTGTGTGGGTTTGTGTGTATGTGTTTGTGTGTGTGTGTGTGTGTTTGTGTGTGTGTGTGTTTGTGTGTGTGTGTTTGTTTGTGTTTGGGTTCGTTTTTTATGTTCTTTCTATTTATCCCGGGAGCCTGAAAGGAAAACACGTATATACGTTTGTTGTTTTGTGAGGGGGGTGTCCTTGTTTCTGGCGCACACCTAATGTCCACCTTCATGAGAGATGGTTTGACATGGTGCGGAGTTGGGCCCACGCCAATCCAAGCCAATTTGGACCCAGGGCTAAACCACCTGAGCCACTTGCTCAAAAACCAACACCCGGGTAAGTGAAGGTTAGGGACGATTCCAAGAAAATCGTTCCTTCGCCGCCCTTGCAGAATCATGTGCTTGAGTTTGGGTAGGCTAAGTATGTTAGTACCGGGGTTTGAGTATGACCTGTCAACAGCCTTCCAGTTTGGTAAGGGGAATATCGGTATCTAGAGCATTTACTACTGGACCCCCCAGCCTTGAGAACGGGGAACCCACAAAATGCAACTAGACGCAAAACAAACCCATCACTTCAAAACCCAGATGTGTACCTTAGACGTGCACCCCAGATATTCATAGATATCCCAGATACCTCAACAACAAGCCCACGACTTTAAAATGAAACCCAGAATTGTAATGTTGACCCCATAGTAATCAATCCCTGTTTATTAATAGGGGAGTGGGGGCCCCCGAAAAGTGGTTTGATTCCCCACATTCCACCCAGGGACCCCCCACCCCTACCGGGAAACCAAAAAGGATGGTCACTATGTTGTTCCATGTTGGTCTATTTTTGACCCATGGTGAGCTCACCAACTTAGGGGGTAACACGAGCTCACTATGGTAAAGGTTCTTTTCTCCGGGATCCCATTCCTGACCCGCACCCATTTCGGACCCCAAAGCCCGCGAGGCGCAGATCTTGGCACAGCCGTTGCTGGACGCCTCCGGGAACTTGCCACCGGGCGCCGGACGAAGCACCTCCGCCCAGGCGCGGAGACGAGAAAACGCCAACCCGCGGTGCCTCACTTCCATTTGTAGGGCGCCTATATGTATTACAATATAATATAGATGTGTATATATACATATATATTAGCATTTATAGATATTTATGTTAGTATTTATATTATACATACTAGTGTTTTTGTGTCTTCCTCGGTTTCTCCAGTTGGTGGTGAACACCCTAGGAGCCCAAGACCTCACTTGAGGCCTCTGGGAGGTTGGCCCTCATATTTCGGGTCTTGGGCTCCTATCGGAAAAGTTTGTCTTGCTGGTGCTCAGGGACTGACCGGCTCCTAGTGTTGGGAATGAACTGAACCGGAAGGGGATTCCGAGAAAAGGAAGCCACAGGAGATGGCGTATAGGGTTCAGTCCAAAGAAGGAGGTTCGCTGCAAAGTCAAAGGACCAATCGGACCAAGGTGGTTGGTTCCGCCATGGCCGTTGGGCTTCTGAGCCTTTGCCGACATCCAAAAGTTTCAAGCGAACCCGGTCTAAGCGGTTGGGAGTTGTGCAACCTCTCAAGTGATCAGTGTTTTTTGTGTTTCCTTTTCCTTAGGGTTCCCCCCTTAAAAGTCATGAACCCATGCCTCTTTCTGGATCTGTTTCTGGACTTTAGGACAGTCGTTTGGTGGTAAATAAAACCCACAACGGCCCTTCAAGGGAAATCCTCCGGATTTCGCTCAGTCCCAACACTGGTTTTGATTGGCCTTGCTTGACGGGATACTGCACTGCTGTGGGCTATATTCATAGGTCATAGACAGAGAGGTTTCCATTGCAAGTGTGTTTGTGGGAAGTGAATACCAACCCAAAGATCACATTTGTTGGTGCGTTTAATTGAAAGCAGTTGGGTTTCTAGGCTCAACAGGGACGGCTTTGTTTGGCTTCGTTGCGTCCGGGTCTTCGGGATATCTTTGGGTCTGGATACCCGGCTAAAAGGACTGGTCCCTTTGGAAGGTTAGAACTCCATCAAGTCATAAGGGTCGTTGTTTCTAGCAGTCCCACGGCGTCCCTTGGTAAGAGCAATATGCATCACTAGGCGTCCCGCATCACTTCCATGGGTAGGGATTTTAGACGGGTTTCCCAAGCGCCCTGATGTAGAACATGGACATGCGTCGAGGATAGTATCCCCAGGACTAAGGCCAAGTTGCTGACTTCAATTCATGACACTCAGTGTTTGCTTTCCTTTTGACCCGGTGCAGCTTTCGTGAGCAACGGGAAGTACTAGAAGCAGTCGTTTGAGGAACGCGGCCTGTTTGGGATAGGCTGTTTTGGTTGGGGTCTTTGTGTTTCCCTGACGAGGGGTTCCAGTTAGCCCTCTAACGGTTGAACTTGTAGCAGGGGATCTGAGAAAAGCCCCAGACTTGTTTGGAACCATTGTCATGGCAAGCCAAAAGTTCACCCAGGAATTCCGGAGTTCCATGGTCGCTTCGAACATCATCTCTTGATCGATTCCAAATCAGTGTCTCTTCTCATAGGAAGAAATACAAGGAACTCTTATTTGTTCGTTTGGTGTTTTGCCTCTAAAAAAAAATGGTTCCCTTTTTCTACGGCTGAATTTCTGTATTGGGCTTTGGTGTTTTGGATTTTTTGGGGGTGCCGGGTGGCTGGCCAAAAGTCGGTTCAATACATGCCCAGGGGGGAAGCTTCAGGCGAATCTCCAATTGACCGGATTCGGATTTGAGCAGAGATTCCCGACGGTGCTCGGGGAGAGCCTTCAACGGGTTTTAGAGATTTGGGCTAGGGCGTTCTTGACTTCTTTTGTTTTGTTCAGTTTCGCGTTGCTTCTCGCGAAAGCTAAATCGTTCAACTGTGCGCCTCCAATTACCCGTCTCCCAGTGTCCCCCGGCTGGGTGGGTTCATTGGCACCCCAGCACAAAGAAACATCAACAGCTGCACGAGAAGGAATGCAAAAGGAAGGGGGGCATTTGTTGCCGCCCCCTTTTACTCACCCCCAAAAGACCCCCGCCCCCCAGCGAAACGAACAAGCAGGTGGACATCACGGTGCAGCCTCCCCAGACCGGCCGGGGCGCCCGGGCAACCCACTACCGGGAGAAATGACCTGTGGACTAAGCTGACTTGTTTTTGTTGTGTTTGTTGTTGTGTTTTTGTGTGTGTGTGTGTGGTTTTTGAAGGAGACCCCTTGACACTTAGAACCACAATCTTTCGCATCCTCCGAGTTGAACACACATTTCAACAACCACCTCAAGATTCCTCACGGACAGTCGTTTTAGGGGTGGCCATATTATGAACCAAAGTCCCAGATTTTGGCTAACAGGCGGGGTGCATGCAGGCAACGAGCCACTGACAAGATGATTCCAAAGCTTGGTGATAGTCTACTGTGGGTTGAAGGATATGGGGCCGACCCGAATCCTCACGAAAGCCAGGGAACCGGCCGGGCCCGCACTTGTCCTGTTTTGCACTGGGTGTTTACGGAAAGAAGTATGGTGGTTCATTGCTCACATGGATCTTTGCTTTGGTCTATATAAAGTGATGGACAACATCAGCACAACCGCCCAGAAGGACGCCGAGAGTTGCAACTTCCTCCGGGTTCAGACGCGAGGCACTTTCCACCCGCAGGTTCGCAGAACTCGATCAGAGCCCCGAAAGATCTGGGGGAGGTCATGCCAACAGATTCATGGGAAGCCAAAGGATTGATGGAAGCCAGCTAGAGGCTTGGAGCTCGAAATTGGTTTGCCAAGTACTCCAATGCCTGTCGCTGGTGCAAATTCTAAATTTTGCGCTCCTGTTCCGCGAGGAAGCGTCCCGGCAGTGCCCTACAGGGTGGACCTGATCCTAGGCCCGAGCAACTCGCTGGGTGGGGAATCTCGTCAGGTACCCTCTGATCAGGGCACTCATGCGGTACTTTTCAGGTACTTATGAGGTTCTTGTGAGGTACTTGTGATCCATGAGGTACTTATCAATGAGGTACAAAACAGGTACTTGTGAGGTGCTTATGATCCATGAGGTACTTATCCATGAGGTGCTTATCAGGTGCTCATGAGGTACTGAAATGCTTTGACTTGTCAAGTGCTTATGAGGTGCGTTTGAGGTACTTAGTGGCTCAGTGGTATACTCTGCTGCTATCTCGTTTTTCAGACTATCCTGGTCTACTTACCTCAAACAATCATGGGACCCCAAAAGCGAGCTGCCAGAGAATGATGGCAGAGCAGTCAAGTTTGATCCAGAGCTCTTTTGGCGTTTGAAGCCAAATTTGATCCAATGGACGAAGTCGACTTGGGGATTTCTCGGGAAAACCGAGACAGACGCGTTTTGGGCTCCCAGTTTGTTACTTCCCAGACGCTCCTGTGGAGCTTCCAATGCAAGACCCAGACCCTCCATTGGGCACCGAGGAATGTTGGGGTCTCAAAACCTGGTGGTTTGAGGGCCCAAAATGAATCGGGCACACCTCATCGGCCTTGGACACAGAGGCCTCTTAGTTGTGTCTTAAGATTGGGGGAATCGGGATCCAAAGTTGCTGGCTTCCTTTTGGCTTCAATTCAGCAACCCATTAAAGGGGTCCCCCCCAAGAGAAAGAGAAACACACAGAGCTTAGCTCTGGAGACCCCTGGCAGGGGTTTTAAACTGGATCCTTCCCTGGCGGACACGACTCACTCGACATCCGAAAGGCGTTTTGTTTTCTTCTGTTTTTTGTTGTTTCCATCTTGTTGCTACACATTCTCCTTTTCGAGTCCCACGAAGTAGACCAAGCGTTTGGCTACTAGTTTTGGGAAACTGGTGCCCCGGAGAGTTTTCGCCCATTCCAGTGTCCCACCCAGTTCACAAGATCCCACATTGGCACAAGTGTGTTTTTGTTTTGCCCCAGAGGTGTTCGAGCAACAGTGGTTCAAAAGTTCTTGGGCCCTCAAGGAAAATCAGCAGGAGGTTGTTTAAGCCATATGGTTTAGACCATGTTTTAAGGGGTAAACTGGGCATGAAGCTCAACAGATTGAGAGCTTGGTTTCCCTTTTAGTCTCCCCTTTCGTTCCAAGTGGTTTGTGTTCCCCCTAACACGGTTGGTGTCCTTTCGCTTCCCTACAAATAATGATCAAAGGCACAATTTTGAGAAGCTCCCAGTGGCGTTGAAAGTTTATTTGGTTCGAGGCAGCGCGTTCCTCTCAAAAGTGAATTGTAACACCCCCCAATCAACCAGGCATTGTGCTTAATGTTTCTTTTTCTTAAATCCAGAGAACGGCCTTTTGATTTTGAAGGATCATTTCGCTCCCCTTGACCAGTGGTCTCGCCAGGGGTGCTGGACATCCGCCTGGAGAACTTCACCTTGGATTGGAATTCGACCATCGACGAATCTTCCGCCGGCCCCTCCGGGCGTTTCGTGCTCAGCGTGCCCGGGGACCTCGATGCGGGGAGGCCTAGAAGCTGAACAGAAGGGTTTCGGGACGAAAAGCCACTGCTAAATGGTCAAAGCCTGGGCTTTGCGGGTTGGACAAGGGTGTTCCTTCACAGGCTGACAGGCCAATGAAAGCATATAAGAGCGTGAAAATGTGCTGCGCATGCCGGAGAAAAGGTTCGGAGGTAGCGGTTTGACCCATCGCTGCAATGTGTTTTTCAAGAATTCCCTGGACGCTCCGAGCCTAAACGGCTCCTTTGGCGAGATTTGCCATTTTCAGGGTCGGTTGGAAGTGATTGTATACCACTTCAATGAAGGAAGGCAACAACTGCCCTACTTCAACGCCTTGCGCACACACAACACAGAGGTGGCTGTGACAATCTGGGCTCCTTACCTGAAACTAGGTGGACCAGCTTGTTCGGCGGGAAGGCTACTTGGAAGGGCTTAAACAACCTCGCCTACTTGGGTGAACACGTGTTACGTTACTTCCCGGAGGATTCGGAGACGAACTTTGGGCACATCACGTGCAAGCTTTATTTCGGTAGTTGGAACTGCCAGGATCATGTTCAGGAACCGTGATCGGCACTAATTTTGCTTTCGCTGTTTTCAACTCGCGAATGATAAGGTACCCGATTGCCGCCTCTAAACACTGTGTGTGTTCGACTCGTTGGCCTGACTGGCAAGCTTCTACATTTAGAAGACCCTCAATCGGTAGTTTTGATCTGCGGCCGGGGGAGGTGAATCATTGATCGGGAAAGCCCACCCTTGGCCTTCCACAACAATCTAAGCCACGGATTAGCTTGGTTGATCTGTGTTGAGTTATATTGGTTCATGCTTAGGTTCACTGCATGTGTGTGGTTGGTTCTGGGCAAAACTTAAGCTGCTGAACTTTTAGCTTGCTTGGAGAGACGATGGGAAAGTTATTTGTAAGTTTTGCAGACCTCATATTTAGCACCCCGACACCTCCACCTGTTGTTTTTTTTCCAGCAAGCTGACCATCGCTTTCCGAGGCAAGTTACATCAGCATCCTCGTGGGCCCGTATGTGCAGACGCTGGTCCTTGTGAGCCAGGAGCAGTACACCGAGAACTCGATGCTCAGGAGACTCCGGGCGGCTTTCGCAAACGTTCATGGCTGCGGGAATTTCGCAATTAGAGTCGATCAATTAGAAAGCAACAGAAGGGGTTATTTAAACAACTGGAGTCAAGTGTGAGATGTCATAAGATTAAGCTAAGTCATGACTATGGAAACAATCTTAAATGATTCAGCCCCCATGTGATAGTGCCTTTCAAACGTCCAGTTATGCAACACGCCTGGAAGCGGTGTATTTTCTCTGGGACCTTGCGATTCCCCATCCACACCTGTGCATGATGGACATGTTGACTAAGCACCGTCAACACATTCCAAGCCAAATGGGGGTGGACATGCCTTGCCTCAGGTAACCCTTAGTTGGTGGTTTGGGGATTTGAACCCCTGGTCCTGCAGAGGGTGAATGGGAAACCACCCCTAACACCTAAGCCACCAATCCAAACCACCAATCACTGTAGCGAGAACTTTAGGGAGTGGCCCCAACCCAACCTCACGTGAGGCGCAGCGCAAGTTTTCCTGTTGGGATGCCTGTCAATCCCATGAGCTCAGGAATGGAAGGCAAGGGAGGGGAGAGGGGAGGGAAGGGAAGGGAAGGGAGGGGAGGGAAGGCAGCAAGGAACGCAAATGAGAAGGTGCAGTCGATTTCGGCAGGACGATTTACATCTTCATAGTGGTGAGCGTGGCAGGGCTTGGCAATCAGCGCAAGCCTCAGCGCTTGGCAATGAGCCAAGTGTGCTCCTTTGTTTGGAGGTTTTTTGTGGGCTTAAAAGGAATTTACCGAGGAAAAATGCCGTCTTGACGGTGCCCTAAAAAAGGGACACTCAACTAGATGATGAACTGGATGTCCATTTTGGCAGTGCCAAATGATTTGCAGCCCGGTCCGTTGGTGAGGGCTTGGATTCATTGTTCATTTCCGGCCGGTTTTTTCTTCACTTTGAACACAAGTGACTCAGATTGCCACTCAAACACATGGCAGTTCGCTGATTTCCCGTGGTTCGCCCTTTCGGGCGGCTCATTCAAACGCGAGGCAAACGCAATCCAGTCCGAAAAGTTCGCGTGAGTAGCTTTGCGGCCCAAGCACAGTATAAATCCTGTTAAGTAGTTAGAGTCTCCATGACCCTCAAAAAATTGGTCCATGACCCCTTAATTTTGGGTAATGACCCCATTTTGTAAGGGTCATGGAGACAGATACGCAAGGGCTCTTGACTCTTAGCTAGCTTTTTCCAACGCCTTCCATTGTGTGGCCTTCTGCAAGAAGGTCTCCACTAGGGAACGCTTGAGGTTGGAGGGTCCCTACTTTGGCCCACTTCGCCCCCCCGCCCCCACGAAAAACCTATGGTTGCAGGCTGCAAAATGCTTGCAAGCACATCCAAGCCTTTGCTTGCTGCCAGCAAAGCTGTCCGGAAGTCATTGCCTGGACTGATGTTGCTTCAAAAAAAAGACAGAAACAGGATGAGGGGCCAAAGTGAGACTCACCCTGAATTGGGTGGGTTCCTCCCCCGAGTGGTGTGCTGATTTCCAAGGGGGATGTGTTTTCTTAAATCAACCCGCAAAAACTGGTGTTCTGTTTTCCTTTGTAAATCCCCATGAAACATGACCCAGACTTCAATCCAGCCCCCAGCCTCTGTCCCACTAACCAGCTAAATAATTACTTGTCCGGCACAATGATGGTCTATGGTTTGATTCCCCGTTCTCTTCACCCATCGTTCTTTTCAGACACCAACTATTTTGCAGGGGTTTGGCTCGTTTTTGGAAGAGAAGGATCCCTGAAGAGAGTGGGGAGGGTAGAGCTAGAGGATGCGTTTCCTCTTCTTTCGGCCGCTCCGCTCCGAGGCTGCCCCTCATCATCCAGGTGCGGCCCCCGGCGAACAGCATCCATCCCAGCCTGGACGTGCGCACCGGCGAGAGTGCCCGAGCCTCGACCCGCGCGGGAACGACACTGGAAGCTGCAAGCCGGGCTGACCTGGAAGGGGCGGGTGCATCCACCAAATTTGGTGAACTCCGACTGAAACCTGCTCCGACGGATTTGTTTTATGGCGGAATTCGCCTGTGCCAAGTGGGGCCAGACCTCAGCCACCCAGTCCTGCAGTGATGTCCAGTAGGCATGCGCTTGTATTCAGAACGTTTTGGAGGGGAAAGCCCGTGTAAATCAAGTAATTACCGAAGAGGGTGCCCCGATTCTTACAAGGCTTTTTCCCCACCCGACAGGAATGGGTTGTTAGATTTTATGTTGGAATCCGCGTTTGCGATGCTTTACACCACGCCCCCACCCAGTATCCCGCCAGAGCAGCTCGCCATTGGATCCCGCCGAGGATCCCGCCAGAGCAGCTCGCCAGTGGATCCCGCCGAGTATCCCGCCAGAGTAGCTCGCCAGTGGATCCCGCCGAGTATCCCACCAGAGCAGCCCGCCAGTGGATCCCGCCGAGTATCCCGCTGAGTTTTTCCCTTTGGCTCGCCAGTGGATCCCGCCGAGTATCCCGCCAGAGTAGCTCGCCAGTGGATCCCGCCGAGTATCCCACCAGATCCCGCCAGTGTTGCGCCAGAGCAGCTCGCCAGTCTGGTTTTGCTTAATGTCCCGCCCGGCGCACAGTTGGGTTTACATTTTGGCGCCTTCGTGTTTTGAGTGTGCCCTGAGGCTCGGAAAGGGTGATGCTTGAGTTCTCGAGATCGGCTCGCAGACAAGTGGAGTTTGACACACAGACAGGTGGATAAGGCTCTCACTGCAAAGCTTTTTGAGCAGTCATAGGCCCCAAGCCGCTCGAAAACCATGCTTGAAAATGTGGGCTTTGACTCTTTCAGGGTTCCCCTTTTTCTTGTTCGACTATACGGGTATGGGTCAAAGTTAAGCCACCAGGGGGGCCGCAGGTTTATTCCATTCCATTTAACAGGGTTCCATTTTGGGGTTGCCCGATTTTGACCCTCACCATAGGATCCACCCAGATGATTCTGTGATCAACCAGCCCCCTTTTCGCCTGACTTCGCAAGGTCAGCTTCGAGCCGCCCACGGTCAGCGGCGTCGACTTTCGGCTCGGAAGTCGGAAGTCGGGAAGTTGAAGGCTTGCGGAAAAGTGGGTATGGCTCAAAAAACTGGTACCAAAATGGAACCTGGTAAGTGGCAACATGGACCAAAACCTGCGTAACCCAGCTCTTTTATTTTGAGCCACTGCCAAGTAGGGAATTTGGTGTGTATCTCTTGTCGAGGGCAACCTTTAGTTGGTAGTTTACTGGGAAACAGGGGTCCCCTATTTTGAGACAAACCCAAACGGGCCTTTGCTCCTTGCTCAAAGGCAAGGAATGCTCTCGCGTTTCTTGCAGCTTTTTGCCCACCCACAAGAGATCGCGCCCGACTCGCCCCTTTGGAATCAAAACCCCTTTCCCAAAAGGGGTTCAAGTCTTATTTTAGCAGCTGGTGAATTGTTGGTTGTTTGGTTTGTTGGTTCGTTGGTTCGTTGGTCGCTTGCTTGCCTGCCTGCCTGCCTGCCTGCTTGCTTGCTTGCTCGCTTGCTTGCTTGCTTGATGGGTTGGTTGGTTGCTGGGGTTCATTCGAATTTCCCCAGCTGAACAATTCTTTGAGCACCCTCCTTTGGTCTGAGGAGACGGACCAGGGCAACGGCCTGGTGTCTGCCACAGGGTACACCTTTGTCACCGTCTCCGGGCCGGGGCGCCCAGTTCTTGGGCAACACCCCACCCCAATCCGTGGTGGAACAACGACAGATGCTTTAGGTTGCCAATTTCTGTGATACCAAGAGTGACGGAGTCATGGGCATGGGTATTTCCCGCGGATTCATGCACCCAAATCCGAGTCCAAAAGTCGCGATGCTAGGGGAGGATCGAGTTCCTACCTAGTTTCACAGGATTTACTAAGTACTGCCTATATAAGACCTTACATGACCCTGTTAATAGAATCAACAAGTCAACGGGTTTTCTTGGATCATGTTAATATTGTGGGTCCATGGAGTCCATTCATGACACCAAGTCTATTTGGGACTCTGGTTAGTCCACTGTGAAGCCGCCGGGAATGACTTTGGCAGGGAAGTTATTGGGCCAGTGGCACGTTCCACAAGTCGATGTTACTTCACTTGACTTGCGTATATCTTTATTTGTTTGATTCCGATTTCCCCCGTTAGAATTATAATGGCATCGTCACTCACGGATAGAGCATGTGCTATTCTGCACGAGTCATGGTGAAGGGATTTTGCGGACGATTTCTCGATGAATGTGTCTCGGGGTCCAGTTCTTATTTCAGGTTGGTGACTTGTGAAAAGTGTTTGAGTCACTTGCGCCAGAGTATGCCATGTGAGCGACGTCCTAAAACGCCTGCATTTGAAAGTAGCGGTCGAGAGGAAGTATCCATTTCAACATGCGGCTTCCTAGCCGCGAAAGGTGGTTGTAAAGCGGCCAGTTTGCCGACCTTATAGCTTTCCCGCGTCCGAAAAAGCGAAAACTAAACTCCAAGTCATTTCTCAATCCTCGAAAGCGACTCGAAAACGGTTGTCGCGGCAGCCCGGGACAGCCTTTGGAAAAGGATTTGATCTATTTTCAGTCGTAACTGGTTTGGAACGCCGCTCATTTATGTTTAGTGTTTCCAAAGCGAAAGATATTCCGCTTGAGTTTGAACCAAAGTATTTGCGAAGCAGCGCCGTTCCGTGAGATGGCACAATTGTGTCGGGAAAAGAGGTAGGAGAGCGGTTTTGGTCGATCCATGTGATCCAGTTTCAGTCGTACTTCAGCCGGCCCGTGCTGACAAATGGTCGAATATGGCTTCATTGGTGGGCCCTTGCGCGGGTCAGCATCGTGTTCTATCTCGATTTGCTTGCCTACAACAGCCACTGTTTTCCTGCTTTGCTCTACCCAGCGCAGTAAGGTGACGGGGTTGGCTTGAGCCTCTCGACTTATATCTTTAATATATCGGATCGGTCATTTCTATTCGTGGATTAAATTGTACATTATATTATATATATATATATATATTAGAAAATGTACACTATAATTACTGTGCACATACATAGGTGTCACTTTTGGTTGATTTGGTTGCAAACTAGAGGGCCCTGGTTCACGTGGTGGTTCAATCAACTACCAGGGCCATCTATTTTCCCAAAAAGGACACCTATGTACATATATATATATATATATATAGGCACATGCGCATAGTATGTCAATAATTGCACAGTCTTTCCATGTTTTCAGGTTGCTCCCCTCGTATTTTGGCCACTCGCCTTTCTCACCTCGCTGCTCATCTGTCGGTTTTTCTCGGCAGGTCCAACCTGGCGCTGCCGCCGGCCGCGGCGGCGGGCGTGGGGGAGGCCGCGGCGAACGCGGAGATCTACGTGGTGGGCATCCCCGCGAGCTGCAGCACGGAGGCGCCGAAGGGGGCAGATGGCTGGGGAAGGGATCCCTGACCTCCTCTTTGCTGGGTTCGCCAGCCATCCAGCTTGTTCGGTTTTGAGGTTTAAGGCTGTTTAAGGTTGACGCCATGTGAACTAACCACAGTAGGAAAAAATGGGGGGGGGGGGGGGTGCTAGAAGGGTTGAACACCCCCCAAAAAATAAACTGGGGTCGATTTTATTTTGGGGTCAACATTACGTCAGGGAAGTGGTGATCGCAAGCCCGGGGAGACTACCTGAACCTGATAGAGTGAGTATCCTGGCGGGAACCTTTCGTTCATATATAATCCAGCAGGTAACCCATGGTGAGAGGTAGCTATTCAGGACCATGAATGGTCATAACCTTCTTATGGCTCCCACTTGCCATTGATTTGAATCAGTATTGGAACCACGGCTCCTAGCCCCAAAGCAAGTCTGTTGAGAGAGGGTTGCTCTTTTTCCACTTGTTTTGTCATGCAGGATTACAGTAACCCCTTCCTTTTTCATTGCTTCCCCACCAGAAGATCAGGAAAATATCCAATATGGCCTTCAGGCTTCAATACTAGCCCCGCTGCTCCCCGACTTGGACCCCCTCAATAGGAGATAGGGAAGACTGTGACCATGGCTTACGGAGTTTGGCAGCTGATATTGAAAAAAGGGTTCGCCATCAAAACGCCTCTAGGTCCGCCCAAAGTGGAAATTTGGGTTGAAATGGGTTGTGCACCTACCCCAAAATGGTATCATTGGTTTGACCCACAGCCATATGGAACCGAGCCACGCTCCCCCAAGCCCAGGAGTGCCAAGCGCAAGAGATCCAGAGCTTGGTGGAGAGCGGGGCACCGAATTTGTGCCTGGCTACAGCACCTCGCCCAAGGAACCGGATGGATGGAGTCGGATGGAGGGAAGGGAATGACACCCCAAAGTGAACCTATGTTTCAGGGTAATTGAATCATAGCGACCTCACACGACCTCGCCCCAAATGGTGGTTTGTGCGGGGACTATTCCTCCAACCACCTGATTTCAGCTGGTGAAATAGGATAATTCACCCAGATGTTTCTCTTACAGGAATCCCTGGGTAGATAAAGACTAGGGGACAAACACAACCATAAACAGGCGCCGCCCTTTTGAATAGTTAGGCTTTGTGTGGACCACTTTAATACCAGGTTGTGATTTAGGCGAAAAGGTCATTTTGCAGTTCCAGCCAGACCCACATGTTGGAGACACACGCTTGAGTAAAGGTCAAATCTCCCTTGCCATTTTCTGGTGGCATAAAGCAGGGTCCAAGCAGCCGCATGCATTTTGACATCTCCATAAACAGGTACAAAGGTTGAGCCAGGATACGCCCCGGCCGCTTGCGCTTCCTTCATCATAAGCGTCCGTCGGCCGTGCGGGTAGGTACAGGTCTCAGCGGACAGCTTGGGCTGCCTCGTGGCGCCTTCAGGCCGGTGTCGACGGAGGCTATGGATGGTTTATAGGGCGCATTCCATTTCCCATTCCCTGAGAACCAGCAAGTAAACCACTCTTGCCAACAAGATTGTTTGGGACCCGGCCAAAGCCAAAATATCTTGGTCGATTTTGATGGGGGGGATGCCCAATTCTGAAGATGCGGATCACTTCGGGAGCTGCGCCCCTGGGTGCTCCCAGGTTCAATTTGTGCGTGCGTGTTTGCGTGAGTCAAACTAGATGATCCCTCAATTGGACGGTGTCTTTCAGTGTCCCATTTGCAATAACCCTAAGTCGGGTATTTAGAAGACACCTTCCTGGGATATGTCAGTGCAGCTGTCAGCTCAGCTCATGAGGTGACTTGCATAGGCAAAGGCGCTTTCAAGCTGGTGTTCTTGTGCAGCAACTATCTGCTTGTGTTCCAACTCTTGAATCACGGAGTGAACAAGTTCAAGGAGGACTCTCGAGATGCCGCAGTTTGCAGTTTGCGGCGCGTGAAGGGAAACTGAACCATGTGGCTCGCAAGGATTTGGTCCCTGGTCTCCCAATAAGGCTTACGTTACGCATGGACAATCAGATTGGACTTCCGACTGGTTTTGCACAGCCCGTAAGGCTGAATCTTGTCCCTTTGTTGCCGACATTTTGCTGAGGAATGCACTGACAGAATGGCTGTCCTTTTTCCCCATGGCTATTAAAAAAGTGAAGGTTTCAAGGGCTTCCAAATAGTGCATGCTTTAATTGCGAGGATTCTTTTCAGTTGAGGAAGTTAGGTTTGGTGCAGGATTCGGCTGGAACCCAAGCCCCCTGCATAAAACCTCAGTAAGGACAGCAGCTGGTTTCAGCCAAGCACCACCATGGGTTTGAGTCGAGTCACCCTGGGTGACCAAGCTGTGGAACTCTGATCCCTCGCTCTTGAAAAGTGGCAGTCCTGCGGGTTAAGTTGGGAAACGGAGGTACTTCCTCCCCGGTGCCATGGGCGCTTGGTTCTTTTGCAGGAACACCCTTGAAAAGCCCAAAGATGGCCATCCAAAACACTGGGCGGCTTGTGTCTCCAATGCGAAAAAATGAGATCAGGCCCCCATGTGTTCGGAGGGGGGCGCTCCGTATTCCGAAGAAGGCATGTTGGCAGCTGCCGCTTTTGAACAACTTGCCTTTGTGACTCCAATGTGCCCCTTTTGGCAAGTGTTGGATTCTCCATTGAACCTCCAACCCAAAGGCTTGGAGATCGTGTGGAGTTGTCGCCCTTTGTAGTCAATTTGGCTAACAGTGCTCTTTTACCCTTTTGGGCAGGGTTCTCCACAAAAATAGACTACAGAGAAAAGGGTACCCTTGGTGCTCCTGGGTATACCAGTTATTACGAATGCAAGGAGCGTTCCCTTGGAACGACCCACGAACGTCTGCCCCAACCCCGCCGCACGCGCGCCGATCGGTCCCCTGCCCAGCCAGCGGGCGCCTGGGCGTGTGTCTCCTTGAGCCACAGGCGTCGGACCAAAACGAACGCCGGCGGGCGGCTGGGGGAAACGAGAGCTGGATGCCCAAGGTCCAGCTGAAATGCAAATTTGTGGTTTTATGCTGTTTTTTTCAAGGGAATCGGTCATGTTCCCCTGCGGGTTTCGAAGGGAATCGATCTCACTAGTGGAAATCGTTTAGCATTCTTTCCAATGGACGTATTCAGAAATGGAGGCCAAGGTGGCAATATCATGTTTAAGAGGTGCAACCGCTTGTGTTTCCCTTTGGTAAGCGGTGATTTTGTACATTGGCCGACCTCGGCCAATTGCGATGCCCAATCCAACGTGAAAAAAGGGCTTAGTTGAGGGAGGCAGCAGCATGGGGTGCTTTCTCTGACCCAAAGTTGTTGCTCAATAGTCATCCAATGATTGATTATTTAGTTTTTCTGGAAGAGGATACCTAAAGGGGACGGGTGAATGTTCAATTGGAGGTCCCTTTCAAGGTATGTCTCGGCAAGTCTTAACCAAAAGATTGTTGAAGCAGTGGCCTAATGGGGTGGGGCCCGAGCCTGGTCACTTGAAGCAAGGACTGGGCTCTCAGTTTGTCAGCGCTTAGAATGATTTTGGCCCACGGGGGGCCAAGTGGGGTCTTGCGGACACCACCCGATCGGTGAGAGAGAGTTTTCACTCGGCTTTGGCAGCTACTTGGCTTTGACAATTGCAATAGAGACCTGGCCATGACCCCCTGAGGGAACGCTGAAATGAAGTTTGGAGAGAGCGTTGGACTTCGACAGGATGTTTAAACTGAGAGCCCGTGGCTTCCTTTGCAAATTGTCCGGTGTTCAAAGGCCTTCCCATTGAACATGGGGCGATCCGTCTGGGTTTCTTCGTGGCTCCTCTCGGTTTTCCCAGACCTTCCACTGGTCTGACGAAAGGTGAACACGGCTCAGCTGAGAACCAATGTGGCAAGACCTCAACGCCGAGCATAGCCCTCAAAAAAACTAAAAACAAAAACAAGCCTTGAACAGGCAAACCGCATCCAGAACCTCCACAAATTGAGACACCAACAACGTGAACACCTATGGAGCCTCCAAAACCTACAAAAACCGCACCAAAGCCACCAGACCTTTCCGGCTACTGACCGCCAGGGATTCTTCGCGCTGCCGGCGTGCAGCACCTTCGTGGCCCCCGGGACGGTGGTCCCGGAGCAGGCGCAGCCCGGAGGCGGGTCGGCGGGGGTCGGTGGTTGGCCGCACCCAAGATGTCTACACGTGTTGCTTGGCTTCCCAGAAACCTTGGCGTTTTTGTTGACATCATGTGAGTTTTTGGTGTTTTTTTTGGGGGGGGGCGGGGGGTTAGACCACTTTGGGAATGACCCTCTAGACCCTCCTGGTTTCCTTCACCTGGGTTCATTACGTGTTCTGAGCACCAGCCAGTCTTTTCTTGGTTTCCCCTTTAGTTTAGTGGTGACCCAAGAATTGTACTCTCGTTTAGGGCTGGGGACTGGCCAAGTGAATATATGATGTTGGATGGCTACCCGAGCGTCGAAATGATCACGACTGGTTGCATTTCCCTCCTTATGACAAAATATAGGTTTTAAGGAGGCCCGCAACTTTAGGCGCTTAATTATATTTGATTGCAGGGTTGACTGGCTGGCTGGTTGGATGGTTGGTTGTTTTGTTGTTATGGTCGTATCCGATTCCTTGCGGGGACCAGGTTGGTGTTGGAGACTTGAAAATTCCTAGAGAAAAGGGGTGTGTTGTTGGGTCTTTTTGGTTGAAGCTAAATGGCTTCATGTTGCTTCGTGTTCATTTGCCAGTTTGGATATTGCAGAGGGGTGGGCTAAGATCAACGGTTTTGTGTGTGTGTGTGGTACGCTTGTTGTTGCTTGATTTCGAGGGTCCCCTTTTTGAGACAAGCCCATATATGCGTATGTGTCAAAATCGGGGAGAGACCCCTCATGGTTTCCCATGTTGTTTCCCTTTAAAGCCGCAGGAGAGGTACCCTCAAACAATACCACACAGCCACCTTTTGGGGCCAAGTCTGCGAACTGGTCCGATGGGGTCATCCCGTACCAAAGATCTTATTTGGAGGTTCCTGGTTTGAGTGATTTATAGCGATTCATAGACCCGTTCTTTCCGGAGAACGTGTTCTGTAGAAAGGAGATGTGAGAGGAACCAAAAGAAATCAACTGACCGCTAGCAAAGGGTTCCTAAAGGCAGCCATCCCCGGTGTAGTTTCCCAATGTGAGTGAAAGGGAAACATCCCGAGTTGCGACTCTGATAGCCCCCAGAAACAGCCAACCATTCCTGGGTGCTGTTTTTGGAGTTGGTACCCGGACCCTGAACAAACCGTTGTTTAAGCACCATGTTTTGTCAGATCATGACCCTAGACTTGGGGCTTCGTTCCTGGGAAGTTGCGGTCTGGAACACCTGATTTGTACCGTATGGAAATGGACAGAGGCATGGTCCACATTCAGTGCGTTTCTGACCATGGCTGAGGCTATGACTTGTTTCATTGGGTTCCTTTCGTGCACATCATTTGCATGAAGCTGGGTTTATGTCCAGCATGTTCCATATGTGATCATGTGTGTGTGTGTGTGATGGTGATGGTGTTTCCAACCAAAACCCTTTGCTATTCGGACATGTATACATATACATGTCAATGTGTATATATGGTGCAATATTTACGTATGCCACGTTTGGCCACCTTGTCAAAGGTGGACCCTGGAAGGGAACGAGTATATATACAAGTTTACACCGAAAACACATACACGTGTCCATGCGTATAGGCCTGTAATCCCTTTGCCCGAAAGCCAAGGAGCTGAGTCGAGAAATCTGTCCGCTTTTTCCAGAGCGATCGGACCGCGATCGGCCGAAGGCTTGGAGGATCCCAACCAGGATATGTCCTCGAACACGCCGATCGTTCTGGACTTGGGCCTGGGCCCGAGTCAACGAGACGCCAGGAATTCAGAGGATTTGGGTTTTCAAGGGAACCAAAAGGGGGCTCGGGATGGACCCAAAAAGAATCCACCATTTGTGGGGCATGTGCCCTTGAACCCGGGAGCTGAGTGGTGACTAAGTGGGGTATCGTGCAAGTCTCGCGGTCCAGCGCACTAGAACCTTCAGACTCGCTCCTTGCCCCGTGGCTACACACCGAGGCCCCGAAAACAGGCAAACTGCCCCGGTCTGCATGGCAGGGAAGCGGGATTCGGCCCCAACCATTAGAGATCACCAGCTGGAAGGGGAGTTCCCCAATACATTTTGAACGGGAAGCTGCACAGAGCCATCTCTACGAGCATCCTAAATATTAATACCCCCATGCGCACCCATCCCCATTCTGTTGCGCAGCGCCAGCCATTAGTACGATTTCGGCGCCACATTTTGAGCCTGATCCTAGAAGGCCGCAGCCCAAGCAAGCCAACTAGGATTGCGGGCCCTGTGAGCCAAGTGCGTCTGGAGTCCCGTTCATTGACAAGCATCGGACATCAGTGTGTTTTTGGGGCGCACCTCTTTCTGGCGGTTGCGCAAGAAAGGAACCAAAGGGAAGAAATGCCCATTGGGATGGTTTCGAAGCTCATTCGGAGAGATGAGTTGCGTCAGGGTGTGTAGATTTGTTTGCGGACCATTTGGGAGGGACACAGGGTGGGACACGCGTATGTTTCGCGGCCTCAGATGGCAACGTGCCGTGGGAGAATGTGTCTCAAGGCTATTTGCAGGCGCGGGCGTCAATCGCTCTGCGCGGGCCGTGGGAATGAATGACCTCTATGAACTGTCCCATACAGTCCCGTGGCTTCCTACAAAGGATCCCTAGGCTCATCTCATCCTTTTGAGCCGAAGTGGGACCACTTATGACCAGTATTCCCAACGGACCACTTTTGCAGGCCAGTTGAAAGGAAACCGATCAATCACGAGCCTAAAATGGACGCAAGTGCTGGACCCGTCTCACCCACAGCCACCTGTCGGGGGGGGGGGCTGGTTCGTGAAGCTGCACAGGCGTTCCTATCGGGTTCAAAGGATTTCGCACTGGTCCAAGACAAAGGCGTCTACTTTCAAAGAGAAGCTTTAGATGTACAATTAGGTTCGGCCTTCAAGCCCAAGTCACACACACACACACACACCAGTTTGGGTACAACATGTCCCTCTTTTGCTGATTTAAGCATCATGCTTTGGGGCTTTTTGAGATGAGCTTCCTTCTGGGATGCTTTACCAGCAATAATGAGGAACCCAAAATTGCACCAGGTGGCTTGCTGAACTCCATGCTGGTGGTGGTATCCCACATTGCGCTCCCCCTCCCAAGGATAAGCGGGCACACCACAACTCCAATAACGGGCCCTGCAACACTATTATTATTATCTTTGCGAGTACAAGGGGCACAAGAGAATGACTTGTTCGACAGAGGGGGGTTGTCCAGTTTGGGTGGAGAGTCGTAGGTTACGACCCATGCAGGCTCTCCGAATCGAGCCCTAGCATATTTGACGGAGCCTACCAGGAAGTTGCGGCATTTTTCAATTCCTTTCTTTAAGTCTCTTGGACCAAATAAACACAGGCTGACGCCTGACTGCCGACCCCTCCGATTCCGATTTTTTCTTGACCGTTCTGAGGCGCGGTCAAGGCCCCAAGGTCTTCGTTTGCAAGCGGTGGTGCTGGTGATGCTGGTGATGCCGAACATGTAAATCCTGGCGTAAGGAGTGCATTCCTTCCAAATCTGTACCCTTTTCCGTTGTGTGGGCTTGCGGGGGTCTGGCAAAGAGGCGCGGTCCAAGGGCTAGAGTTTTCTTGACCGCGGATGCACTTTCGAGTGGGCAAGAAAACCGACGCAGTCCAGACACGCCGCAAATGCGCAATATCCCCAGCATCACTGGCATCACCGCGGCAACCCGGAGGGAATATATGTTTTGTTTGACTGCGGAGGCGCGCACAACGGTCAATGGGACAGCCTAGTGCTTCTTCTTGACCACGGCAAGCGCTTGCGCGGTCGAGGAAACGAACTCTCGCTGAGGTCTAGGGGGAGGGTCAGGGCTAGAGCCCGCGGCCGCAAGTTGAGCCAGCCATGAACCTTGCCAAGCCTTGGACCAGAAGGCCTCTTTCATTTTAGGCCCCCGGCAGCCTAGTCATTTTTTTCCGTAAATGAGGTCTTTCCCGTATGGGCGAGCTCATGGTCGTACGCCGGTCCCCTCAGGTGTGAGTGGGCCACGCCAATCGCTTTGAGAGAGGGATCACTTTGCGTAAATTGGACGGCATCCCTCTAGAACCAGGGGTTCAACTCCCCAAACTGGCCTCACTTCAGTTTAAACTTTTTTGGAAGATAATCCACAGATGTTGTCACTGTGGCGCCAGGTTTGGGTCTCGCCCTTCGGTGAGCGCCCGGCGAATCTCACCAATTTGCCGAGCGGGTGGGTGCCAATGTGTTCCGATGCCCTTTGGCGAAACGGGAAGTGGCGCACGGGTGGCTCGTCTTTTTTCGAGGGCGCCCCCTTGTTTGAAGATTTTAATGCAAAACGAAGAGGAACATCACCCATTTGGGGTCTAAACCAAACGTGTGTTCGTGTGTGTGTGTGGTGGTTTCGGATTGAAGGGTTGACACAGGGTTGTTGGCCTATCTTGGCCTTGTTGGGGAAACTAAAAAGGAGATAATGAAAGCAGGTGTGGCCTGCAGGTACTGACCTCGGTACCACCCCCCCCTGAGTGCTAATTTCCAACCAGCCTTCCCGTTTGGATTTCCCGCAAAGAGGCCGGCCTTGTCGAATGAGTTTCTTGACGCCCTGCCAAGTTGAGGACCGGGCTAGTTGGCGAACAGTCTCTCAATCAGGGTCTCATTTTGGGCCGCCGCACGTCAGGGAAAAATGTTTTTACAGCATGCCACGTTTTGTCATATCCTTGTAGAACCCCCTTTGAAGTGACAAAGTCATAAGGATACTTCATGATGGTGAGACAGAAAGGCACCATGCGGGCGTCATCTTCTGTTAGTCCTTTGGTCCCCGTCGATTGTTGGTTGACGCCCTTTACAGGAATGATAGAGCAGGGAGTTCCCCCTCTTTTTTCAGACGCCCCTTTTCGACCTTACTTCTGTGTACCAACAGTCACCGCAATTTTGTTTGGACCGCTTTGTAGCTTGATACAGAATATATATATATATATATATATCTGTAAATGCGCAAAGGACTGGTAATCGATTATTCGCCTGGGGCTCTTAAAGAGCGAGATGTGTGTTCAAACATGGAAGCCCCGCAAAAATGGCTGGTGGTGCACGAGTGACATGTAAATGATGTCCCCCAAATCGTCCCTATTTCACCCATACTCATGTTAGCGCCCACTAATCCTCTGGTAGTCCCAGATGTCAAGGGCTGACATGACACACCAACATGTGCAGTAGAACGTGCCAAAAGTCTTAGGGAACGATAATGATACAGAAAATGACATCTCGAGTACACTTGTTTTCGTGTACGGGACTACCCTTATATATGCCATGTAATGTGGCAATGCGCAGCTGCCAAAGTGTACTTCCTCTGCTACTGAAAAGTTGCAACTTTCGCAAGCCGAAGCTGCCAAAGTGAACTTCCTTCCAAAGTGTACCTCCTTTACTACACATGTGCTGAAAAGTTGCGGAAAGTCCGGGGATGCCAAAAATGCAACTCCTTTACTACAAAATCTTCTGAACAGTTGCGACTTTCGAGCCGGAGCTGCCAAAGTGTGCTTCCTCTGCTACAATTCTACTGACAAGTTGCGACTTTCTGTACTGCACTTGCACTGAAAAGTTATGAATTTTGAGCTGGTCCTTTCAAAGTGTGCTTCCTTTACTACACATACGCTGAAAAGTTACGACTTCCGAGCCGGACCTTGCAAAGTGCACTTCCCTTACTACACATGTGCGAAACAGTTGCGACTTTCAGGCCAGAGCTGCCGGAGGGTGCTTCCTTCGCTACACCTGTATTGAAAGAGTGCGACTTTCGAGCCAGACCTGCCACAGAGTGCTTCCTTTACCACACTCGTACTGAAAATCTACGACTTTCGAGACGGAGGTGCCAGAATTGTGCTTCCTTTACTACACACATGTACCGAAAAGTTGCTACTTTCGAGCCGGAGCTGCCCACACTTGTCCTCAAAACTGCGACTTTCGAGCCAGAGCTGCCAAAGCGTGCTTCCTGCACTTGTGCTGAAAAGTTGCGACCTTTCAGCCGGAGCTGCCAAAGTGTGTGTTCTACACCTGTGCTGGAAAGTTGCGACTTTCGAGCCAGAGCTGCCAAAGCGTGCTTCCCACAATTGTGCTGAAAAGTTGCGACCCGTCGCTGCCCTATCTACACCTGTGCTGAAACGTGGCGGCTTTCGAGCCAGAGCTGCCAAAGTGTGCTGTGCTCCCTTTCTACACCTGTGCTGAAACGTGGCCACTTTCGAGCCAGAGCTGCCAAAGTGTGCTCCCGATCTACACCAGTTGCAACTTTCAAGCCTGAGCTGCCCACACTTGTCCTCTGAATTGTGACTTTCGAGCCAGAGCTGCCAAAGCGCGCTTCCGACAATTGTGCTTGAAAGTTTGCGACCTTTCACCCGTCGCTGCCAAAATGTGCTCCTTTTCTAAACCTGTGCTGAAAATTGGCGACATTCGAGCCCCTTTCTACACCTGTGCTGAAACGTGGCCACTTTCGAGCCACAGCTGCCAAAGTGTGCTCCCGATCTACACCAGTTGCAACTTTCAAGCCAGAGCTGCCCACACTTGTCCTCTGAATTGTGACTTTCGAACCAGAGCTGCCAAAGCGTGCTTCCCACACTTGTGCTGAAAAGCGGCGACCTTTCAGCCGGAGCTGCGGAGGTGTGCTCCCTTTCTCCACCTGTTGCGAAAATGCGACGTTCGAGCCTGAGCTGCGAAAGTGTGATTCCGACCTAGACCTGTACTGAAAGATTGCAATTTTTCTGCCAGAGACGCCACTCTGTATTTCGTATTTTTGTGACGTGAACAAATGCACAAAGCCTTCAAGGCCACGAAAAAACGATAACTGCTATCCGATGTCCTTTTCCTACACAAGAGGAATCGTAAGTTGCTTACGCAACATATTTTCAACAACGCCTCGCTGGTGGCAGAACAAGCTGGTGTGAGCGCTCAGGCTGTGATCGAAGACGGCCGCCTTGTGTGCTATCGGAACCAGAACCTGATCTGACCTGGTGCGTGCTACATGTTTTTGTATTGCCAGGATGCGTGTGTGTGCGTGTGTCACTGTGTGTGTTTTTGTCACTGTGTGTGTGTCACTGTGTGTGTGTGTGTCGCTGTGTGTGTGTGTGTGTCAATGTGCGTGTGTCACTGTGTGTGTGTCACTGTGTGTGTGTGTGTGTCACTGTGTGTGTGTGTGTCAGTCACTGTGTGTGTGTGTGTCAGTCACTGTGTGTGTGTGTCACTGTGTGTGTGTGTGTGTCACTGTGTGTGTGTGTGTCACTGTGTGTGTGTGTCACTCTGTGTGTGTGGTGTGTGTGTGTGTGTGGTGTGTGTGTCTGTGTGGTGGTGTGGGTGTGGGTGTGGGTGTGGGTGTGGGTGTGGGTGTGGGTGTGGGTGTGGGTGTGGTGTGTGTGTGTGCCGAAGGAACACATTTGTTTGGCGACCAGTGGTGTTCAATGAATCGGACGCTTGTAGTCTAGAATGCTGAAAGCTGTTGTTTTTTCAAGTCGTTGCACGTTTGTTTGGGACAGACTGTGCTATGCCTCAGGAGGTGTTCAACAAATCGCAGGCTTTTCAGGGCCATGATGTTGTTGTCGCAGGATGTTTTTGTTTAATGAGTCGCATGCTGTTTAGGGCCAGAATGTTTGTGTTGTTCAGCAACGGGCTAGACCGTCAGCTCTGCAAGTCAGGAACCTCAACGTGTCCGAGACTGGATCTACTCCCAACGTCTACGCCCCGAACTCAGCGAGCCAACCAGCGAGCGCGGAGCATGCGTGGTAACTATGATTTTACAAACATATCTTAATATGAGCTGCCCCCCCCAACCCAACTTCAAGATGCAGAGCGGATCCTTCAGAGGCCGTTGACATAGTGGCCAGGTACTTCCTGAAATATGATTCAAAAAGAAGAATTCTACTTTGATCAGATAATCCTAGGAAAGAATCCCCCTTGTAAAGCCTCATTCAAGTAAAGTTTCCAATTGAATTCTATTATTCCCCGATTTGGAATCCTACTTGAAAAGAATATCGTAAAATACATGTCCAATTGAATGTTAGTGAAAAGCCTACTTGCAAAAGAGTTCTTGTCTAATACGATTTCCGTTTAAATTATAATTAAACTCTAGTGAACGTGGAACTCGAACTTAAAGCCTTGCAACTTTAAGCTTGCAGAACAATATGATGAAACAATGCATTTTCCTTGATCGTGTTTTTCGGCTTTTCACTCCTTTTCAGGGGCAGGCAAGTTAGACGAAGCAACCACCTTGTTTTTTCTCGCTAGAATCCGTTCAAATGCGAATCAAGTTCCTACTTGGAAGCTAATTCCTATTGACCATCTCTTTCAAGATAAGTAGTCCAATTCTGTCCTAAGGAAAGTTTGAAGTTTTAAGCGTGTAAACAAATAGAACTAAACTCGCACTGTTCCTGGATTTCTAGTAGATTCTCACTTCTTCAAAGGGGCACACAAGTTAGAAGAGCGTGCCTTCCTTATTAGTTTCTATTTAGATTCTAAGTAAATTATACGAAACACTTACTCGGACAGGAACTCCTGTTTATATTCTAATTCACAAAAATATGCTTAGTTACACTAATTGGAAGGAACAAACGGCTTGTCTTTCCTCACGGGTTTGTATTTCAAATCTAATAGCGTCCTAGCGGGAAAATAATTCGCGTTCAGTATCTTATTCAAAATCAGGATTCTGATCATATTGATTGAACGAAACAACCAGCCTGTCTTGCCTCACTGGGTTCTGTTTGAATGGTAGTTAGATTCCAATCAACTTCCTACTTGGGAAGGACGTCTGATTTAGAAACCAATTCAGAACGATCATTCCAATTGAGTTCTAATTAACGTTCTACTTAAACGAAAAGCTTTGCTATTATCGTCTTGTAAAGCAATAGAACTGAAGTTGTGTTTGCCCAGGATTTCTTGCGGTTGTTCACTCCTTTCAAGAGGCAGGCAAATTACTAGAAAACGTGGGTGAGGACAGATGCTTGCAGCGGATGGATTTTTTCTCCCCCAGCCAAACAGCTAAAGAACGGGAAACACTGACAAGCCGAACTATCAAACAAACACCAGAAGAAAGAAAGAAACCAGGGTCCCAGAAGATGGGCCCCAAACCAGGAAGTAACGGACAAAATCAGAACAAAGCTGAACAGCCACAAAGAAACAAACTGAGCAAAAAACAAAAAACTGAAAAACAAACAGATCCTCCTTGATGAGGAGCCTGGTTGTTTGCTTTTCTGTTTTTGTGGCTTGGGGCCCATTTTCCGGAGGACCCTAGTTGTTGGCCTGGTTCTTCCTCTTCCAGAACCCTTTGTTTTTCCTCGATGTCGTGTTCTCTTTCTCTGTTTGTTTAGCTTTTTTGGTTGAAGAGGGGTTCACGGGGGGGAACCTATATATAAATACACATATATTTATACACACATACATGCGCATATACACGAGCCTATGCAAACACGCGCATAGTTCTGTACATCCATTTGACCCCGAAGACTAGCCTCTTCGGCCTGTGGCAGTTTTGATATCCTGTTTGGGGAGTGGGCGTGGAATTCTGGAGCCGGGTGTACGGACAGGTTCCGATGGGTTTTCTCTGCATGACGTGTCCGAAAATTCGGACGTTGCCGCGGTTCCTGGAACTTCTCAGGGCTAGACACACCTCATGTATAAATATCTGCCAGGCATACTCCAGAGCTGGAGGCATGTGCCAAAAGGGAAGAGAAACAAAACATCCGCCCCATGCCCGAGTTGGCATATTGTTGGTCGAGTTGGCCGCCGCAGTCGAGTCGGCAGGTGCAGTGTCCTTTGCTTTAGTTTGTTCTTTCTTTCTTGATTTATTTTTGTCTTTCTTTGCTTTTCTTTTCTTCTTTTTTCCCCTTCTTTCCTTTCTTTCCTTTCTTTCCTTTCTTTCCTTTCTTTCCTTTCTTTCCTTTCTTTCCTTTCTTTCCTTTCTTTCCTTTCATTCCTTTCTTTCCTTTCTTTCCTTTCTTTCCTTTCTTTCCTTTCTTTCCTTTCTTTCCTTTCTTTCCTTTCTTTCCTTTCTTTCCTTTCTTTCCTTTCTTCCTTTCTTTCCTTTCTTTCTGTTTTTGGGGGCATGTAGTTTTATCATAGCATGTTTCCATGCCACGGCCAATGCGCCGTTTGGCTCAAGCTTTTCAATCCGGCAACTTGCCCTTGCAATTTCGTCACCGCGCACCGCGGCACATCGTGCTCGTCTCCGGCAAAGAGTGCCGCTGCCGAGCGCCTGTGGTGGTGTTTCCGGTGGAGGTTGGTCGGGGGTTCTGGTTGGGGTTGGTGCGCATTTGGTTTGCTTTGCTTGCTTCGCTGCATTGTTTGCCTGCTTGGTTTGCTGCTTTGTGCTTGCTTTCGGTTGTCTCTGCCCTTGCTGGGTTTATTCATCATTTGGTTAAAGGCACCCTGTTTTGGTTCGTTTGTTGTGCCAGCCGGGGGCACCGCTTTGCCCTTGGGACTGGGGGACTTAAACAATCTCTTCTTGTTGGTGGGATTGGGCCTGTTTATTCTCTCCCGAAATACTGTTTCAAACCCTTTCGCAGGTTATCAGCCGTAGGATTCGTCCTCGGTTGGCACCGCGAACCCCTTTTAATAATAACCCTGCAGGTACCGTAGGTCTCTGTAGGCGTCATGTCGGGAATCACTGAGGACGGACCTCATGTGGTGACCGACGAATGGGTTCTCGGCCAGGCCGGAATCTTGGACGTTGTGAATGACGACCAAGTGCCCGGACAGCCGATGTTTTCCGGTCCTGACTTTTTGTCGGACCACACTTTTTCCGAAGCAATGCCTTCAGGAAGGTCCAGTGCTACTCGCACTGATGACCTATCGTCTAATGCCTCAAGAGCTAATCGCTCTCAGGGTCGTGGGGCTAATCGTCCTGACCATGATGATTCCGTCTCAGGACGTGATGATGACGAGCCCGGTATTACACCTGGAGCTCAATCCTCATCTTTCCCGGAGCTGATGAATATTGGTCAGTCCGAGTTTCGTGACTCTCGAGGTAGCAGTAGACCTGTGCCAACCAGTAGTATAGTTTTTCAAGCGCTCGGTAATCCCGAACCTGGTACATCCAGTGGAGTTGCATTTGACGTTCATCTGCCGACCGAATCCGGTGGGCTCGATTGGAGAGCCTCATGGCCCAACGACGGAAACATTTTTGGTATGGACTTTGCCGCATGGATGCCAGGGCCACCCGCCCCGTCATCTTTCCCGCAATTCCAAAGCCCAAAACGGGCTGCTGGAAGCGACGAATTCATGCTACCTTTGTCGATTGAGAATCTCAATCCTGACGTGGCCAGTCGTAACGTCAGGCCAAGGCCGTCGGTAAACCCGACCATGAGGAACATGTCCCCTCCCCCAGGACTTTCAGGATTTGAGAGCCCTAGGGAGCGTAATATCGTAGATAGATTGGATTTGCATCCCAGTCCAACCCCAAGCAAACGATCAAGGTCAAATTCGACTGGATCGCATAGGGCAAGGGGGATGGATCGGGAAACTGCCCACAGGGGTAACCCCAGTGCGCGGGACTCCGGACGCGGTCGATCAGGTGATCCAGCGTCGATCATTGGTAGAGACCCGCTAAACGCGGACACACTCGTTAACGTGCTTGATGGGATCGAAGCATTCCAGGAGGAATTTAACAGATCAAGTGGCTTGAATGCCCAAGGTGTTCGCCCTACGCCCAACGCGGCTTCCATTTTCGCCCTGGACGACATGGACGGAGCTAATGTTCCGATAGAATCTGAATCCATGATGGCATCAATTTCTAGTCGCAATCATACCATCAGTAATGCGACTGATATTGAATCGATGTCTGAGTCTAGAGTGTCCAATGCGACCGACTTGAATGACATTGTTATTGCTGACTCGAGACCTGATGTTCCTATGCGGATGGATAGGCCTGTTGTTCCTAAACTGCCCGTGGCCAAAGGCCTGGGCATGACACAACACTCTGCGGTTCGTGATGCTAGGAGATCTGCTCCGTATCAGAGTCAATCTCCTAATCGGAGTGAGTTTCCACGGCCATCAACGGCCGTGCAGGATGATTTCAGAACTCCTCCGAGATCTAATCCAATCATGGTTGATTTGTCCACTCCTCGAGATCGCGGATCAAGATTTGGTCCTGCGAGTGAGGAGCAACCCAACGAGGTTGCTGATCTTGTAACAGCCCTTGAAAGAGGGAGAGTGGACTCTTCGGTAAGTGCGATCATTCATCGCCTGGTTGCTAAGGTCGAAGACCTTGGGCGTAGGAATGATAGAAGTGATCAATGCATCAAGCAGCTCTCCACTGAGGTTAACTCGTGGAGGGCCAAATACGACCAATGCGTCCATGTGAGTAGCACGTGTACGCAGGCTGCGAACGCGGCCATGCAGCTATCACAAGGGACTAAGGACATCGTGACCGAGCTTGGCCAACGCGTCAAGATCGTTGCCGATCGCATGATAAGCATAGGCGATGCCCTAAACGAGCGAGCCAGCTACGATGATGTTGCTCGCTCCATCACCCAGGTTCAAACTGTTTTTGAATCTCTTTCTGATCGAGTAACCGGGCTTATAGCTCGTGTTGATATGATCGAGAGATCTCTAGTGGAGAGCCAATCCAACCATCCTGCTATTGGTGGAGTGAACCTCAAAATCGAGGACCTGTCCACTAGGGTATGTCAGATTGATAGGATGATGCAAGATGTCGAACAACGCTGGACCAACAATAGGGACGGCAT